AATGTCTCCAGACGTCTGCACCAAATGATTAGAAATTCGACAGAATACGTTTAAAATGTAGCTGTAACAATAACGTGAACTACTAAACTGATATAACTGTCATTACGAGTAAAAGAAGAGCTGGCAAAAATAATGACACCGCTTTTATTTTGAAATATACCAGATGCAACCTGCTGAAACGTGTCTCACTTGGACAATCTGCATGAGAAAATTTTCCAGAGCTCCGGATGCACAACATACCACAGCCGGTGTGAATGCTCTGATTGGACTCGGTGGTTTTTGGTCTGTGCAGAAGCAGTACGGAAAGCTGACTGCATTTACATTCACATTTAATAAGCATATTAAGCAAAATGTCTATTTTATAAAAACCTGTCGGATGCATGCTGTTGGGTCCTAGTTGGTTTTTGTCCCATCACTGCTCGGTTTTATTCCTGCATGCTTGTGATCAAAGCTGTGGAAGAACTTTGTTTTGTGTATTTGCTCACTAGTTGACCTCCACTGCTTGTGTTTCTCAGGAGATTCCAATCAATGGCCTGTAGGGGGCGCTGAAGCTGCTCTGCAGACTTCAGGCAGAGGCCCTGGATCCTCCTCTTTGGACTGCAGCTACTAAACCTTCATGTTTAGCACCAGACGCTGTCCTGCTGTAAACGTGTCACTTTGTGCTGATTGCACATGCCCATTTAGCTTTAGGTACTAAAGTTGTAAGTTTCTTTAAAAAGAGATTACCTTTGTAAATAGTAATCCATGCAGCTGCATATTCTTTTTATATGAAAAAAGGTATTTTAATACTTATTTTTATTTGACAGCTTATGTTTTAGATGGTTTAAGGAATTATGTTGAAATGCAGTAAAAAGTACCAAAGTGAATCCACCCGTCTGCTGAGTTTGTATTTTGAGTCAAAAAGGGGGAAAAAAAACTCTGTGGTACAAAAGTCCCTTTATTAGAATTCCTTTTTTTCCTCTTTTAAAGTACAAATGTTGGCAGCCACTGCAGAATGTTTACTGAATAACAAATGCAAAAAAATAGCTCAAGTCAAATTAGAGAAAAAACTGTTTGTTTTACAGGATCTGCATTACCACTTTCGGTCGTGCAGAGGTTAGATTTTAGTAGCACTAGCAACATTTATGGTCCTTTTGCTGTTAGCGACCTATAAAACTAGGCCTGGAAAACATGGACCACAGTCCGAGCAGCACCAAATCTCCCGGTTACAAAGGCAAACATGTCTGAACGACATCAGGCAACTTTCTCAACACCTTGGTTCTGTTTCAGGTAACTAAAATCCTAGCCCTCGAGACTTCCCATTTACACACATCTGAGGGGAAACTGTTGAAATGTGACACCAATTAGAATTAAAGTTCTTTAAATTTACACCAAAGGAAAAATGCAGCATGTTTTGATGTATTTTATGCAAATAAGCCCCGCATTCATCTTTGCACGAGTCTGACGAAGGCCTGGACGAGCTGGATGATGGGCTCCTGGCCTTCGTGGGTGGTCTTTGAGCCGGGTGTGGGGGGTTTAGGCTGAAGGGAAGGGAGGAGGCCACTGGCTGGAGATGATGGAGAGCCCCTCCTGAAGTGACGGGACAGGCTAGACAGAAGGGTGCTCTACAGATGAGAATGAGAAAGTTTAGGAGTTATAGAGACAAAATGCAAAGGTGAATGTAAACCTTCCAAAATGACACAAATATACTGATACCAAGTCTGTGCCACTAAGGATTAACCCATAATCTCTTAGGAAGCACCACGCTGGGTTTAATATGACAAAAATAACTCAAAAGATGCAGATTAGAAATCCCACCAGTTCGGAGCTGAGCTCCTGCTTGAGTCTCTGTCTGTCTCGAGGAAGGATGACGGGATCTTTGAGACACCGAACCGCCTGAGAGATCAGAACGTAAAAGCAATTCTCCATGGTGAACATCAGCAACGACCTGCAGAAAGAATTTCATCATTAATCCACTAAAAGTAACAAACGTGTGAGTAACGTCTTCCAGAACTCACTTCAGAGCTTGGATCTCCTCTGATGAGGCCAGAGAGACGATGCTTAGAGAAACCGGCTCCTTCTTCTTCTCCGTCTGTGAATCAGAAGCACCAAGTTATCCTAAATCAAGCTTCGGGTAAGCATGTTTTGTTCAGCGTCTACCTCGCTCAACATGCTCAGAGCCACGTTGATGGTGGCCAGCAGGGTCCCAAAGGACGGGGCCACGTCGGGGTCGAACGCAGGAGTAGTGAAGCTGAGCACAAACAGGGTCCTGTACTCAGCCAGGTCCATGCACTAACACACACACACACACATACACACACGTCACTCTCTGGTTTCTGCACCCAGTTACTGAATAAATAATTAAACGTGGTTTTGATGAGAGCGGTCTGACCTGGTCCAGGAGAATCTGGCAGCAATCTGGAGTGAAGTGCTGCAGGGTTGCCAGAGTTTTACTGAGGATCTTCAGAAGGCTGCACTGCACAGCCAGCAGGGCCTTCTGCTCTGCTTCGTCTCCTCCTCCTCCTCCTCCTGCTGCTGCATCTTTACCTTGAGGAGGCCGTTGGGTCCTGGGGAGAGGACCGGGCGGCAACGCCTCGCCGTTTTTGGCCTTACAAAACCAAAATAATAATGATGCAACAGCAATAAAAATAAATAAAAAATAGAACAAATCCAGTTTTCTAACCTGTAGATAGTGATGGAGCATCTTCTTGCTGTGAAGCAGGTATGTGCAGGTCTGGCACAGGTAACACAGGTTTACCTGCACATCTCGGAGCAGATTGGGAAGGTGAAACTGCCACTCCTTACAGAAGCTTGAGAGCTGCAGCAGGAACCCAACGGTGTGATCGGCCTCGTCCAAACAGGCCAGGCTCTGCACCGTGCGCACCGCATTCAGACACTGAGCAGAAAGGAAACACGTCAAACTCCTTTTACCTGATAAATGTTTTGGCCACCTCTAAAGCATCCCGGGGTGTGAACTTCAAAGCTGCTTGTTTGGTACACTAGAAATAAAATAAGAAGGTCCTAACAGCAAACCTGTAAAATGCGTTCTTGATGTACTCCGACAAAGTCCAAGGCCTCGTTGATGAAGTTGTAGCGCAGCGTTTTGAGGAGGCTCTCCATTAAAGACATGCAGAGGCGGTACACACCTGGCCAGCAGGTGGAATCTTGGGACTTCCTAGAAAAACTCTGATGACACAGAAACACGTTAACAGGTCCCAATAACATCCCATCATAACACACAGCTGAAATCCAGAATTTTCCTACTTCCAGGAATTAAGTGTAATGTTTTAAAACTCGTACAGCTGAGTCTTACCCTCGTGTGTGATAATGTAGGCAATAACTAAATAACTTTTTTTTGCTAAGCTGCCCCCCGTCCAACAGCGTCAGACATCTGCTTACATACAGATGTCACCAGAACCCAGACTGCTGCGTTTTCAAACCGTTTACAAAGACGTGGCGAATAATTTAGCAACTACAAAAGAGACGGATTCCACGACTCCCTGCTTCTACTGAAAGACAAAAGCCCACTGGACTCCACTTGCTGAATGTTATGACCCTGGGTAGAAAAGTTCCTGAAACCCCTCTTCTATCTGCCCATGGCTCCTCTATTCCACCCCATGGATCACTCCTTCCAGGGTTTCCCTCAGCCAGCTCCATGGAGAGGGACACACCTACAAGCCACCTCAGCTGTTGCGAATCATCTCACCAAATGGCTGCAGAGGTGTAAGCTGGACTGCCAGAAGAGAACGGGGGAGACTGCAATAACAGAAACGTTGGGCTTAGGTACCGAGCTACAGATAAATAGTGATTCTAGGTTGTCGGGCGTGTAAACAGTTGATTGTTAAGTGGTGGATCATTACGTAGTCTATCTATAGGAATTCTGTGAGCAGCAAACTACTTTGGATTCTTCTTTGTTTTCCAAAAGTTTTCTGTTGCCCGTCTAGTTATCCTCTTGATTATTAAGAGTTATTTTTTGTTATCTGTAGGTTATTAAATATTCCTTTTGTAAAAGGAATAAATTACTTTTAAACTAAGAACCTGCAGCAGATCTGCTACTCCTCGACTCCACAGGGGGGCGTAACCCTGAACAGCACCTCAAAGACTGGCAAAGAAGGATCTCAAACAAGGAAGGATCTCTGCGTAGAACAGATACAGAGTTGGTGACATTTCTTACAAACAAGCTTTTCAATAATTTATATACGAATAAACAGCTTAATCTGAGACTACTAATTGTAGAGGTGAGCTTTCACAACTGAGAGACATTGACTGTGTTCGAGATGAGCCAGTTCTGCGCAGATTAGACCACCGGTGATCGGCGAGCAGTGCATGCCGGTTAGATTTGTGTCCAACTTAACGCCGACTTGCTCTGACGTCATGCATACGTAGGCAACGATAACCTCGTGAGATCAAGGCAGCCGCAGATTTTGGAACAAGGCGCTGCAGTTGCTCTCCACCGGCTGCAAAACCTAGGGGATGACGGGAAACGCCTGGCTCTCACCTGATCTAAGATCTGATTGGTTCACATTTTGATCCAAACATCCGGTGGTTGAATGCAAAATGTTAGTTGGTCGCATGTATTCTGTAAATCACGTAACGTTGATGACAACTATATAGGCCATAAAGAGAAATGTGTTTTGTGTTCTTTTCTCACGTTTCCTATGAGCACACTAAACCTACAGCTGCTAACCTTTACTTATTATTACAGTCATGTCTTCATATACAATATATGATATCCACAAGCACGTGTGTTTCTGCTGCTAACAGGCACCAGAATTAAAATAAATAAATAAACAAGTATGAACGCTAACGCAATGTCTTCATCCATCGTCACCCGTGAGCTGCACATGTAGGTACATCTGTCCGACTTAAATGCCGGCTTTCAGCCACTCCCCCTGCTGCGTCCGTCTGCTCTCGTCTGTTTTCCAGGCGAGGCGCTGCTCAACTCGGACACGGCCATTGCTTCCAGCTGTATGGGGGAGGGGCTTAAAGATGCAATACATTTTTTCTATCTCTAGATGGAGCTCTGAGAAACATCTCTGGATTTCAGCTTAGAAGGAAGAAAATGTGAAGTAGAATGCTTGAATTTAATTTGGTTCACCTGCAGTGCACCGTTTGAGACCTCATAAACACTCAGAAGAGGGAGGCAGATAGTTTGGATGACTCCTCCTCCAGCTACGGCAGCTGCTCCCTAAAATCATGTAGGAGACACTTAATATTTCAGATCTGTGATTAATGTGAAAGGAACCCATGTGTAAGTGTGTGTGTGTGTGTGTGTGTTTACCTGTGGGGTGCGGGCCAGCGTGAGCAGCAGGTGAAGGGCAGCCTCAGTGAAGTAGAGGTTTTGTTTAGAGCGCAGACTGAGCTCCACAGCGCTGAGCACCGTGGGCAGAACCGGGATATTCCTCATCACCGACACCCAGTGTTCCCCGCCCTCGTCGGTCAGACACAGCTCCTTAGCCAGGTGGAGCGCTAGAACACACACCTGATTCAAGCAGAAACACAAAGTTCAACAACAATAAAGACATTTTTATCGGTTATTTCACCATTTAAAAAAAAACTCAAACATCTCGGCTCACCCCATCTCTCTGGTCCTTCTGTGGTCCCCGAGGACAATCTGTCTCCATGCTGTCCTCCTGCTCCGCCACTTCCCCCGTCAGACTTGTGTGACGAGTGCCGTCGATCAGCGCCAGCGCCTCGTCTTTAACCGTCTCACACACGGAGCGCAGGAGCTGGGGCAGCAGGGAGATATCTCCACCTGGATTACAACCAAGAACCCAAATGAAACACTGAGCATCACGCTCACACACGGACAAAGGGAGGTGGCATTCGTTCCACACCGTCAAGGCCCTGAATCTGCAGCACAGAAATGAGAGCGGAGAAGATTTTGGCTTTGGTTCTCTCCATCATTTGCTGGTCGGCCTGCAGGACACTCTCCAAGATCAGGGAGAGGGGAGACAGGATGTCAGGAGCTGCTGCTACCACACTAGAGACGGGGAGGGACAGAAAACCCTTTACAGCATAAAAATAAACAAATGTCTGTTCTCTACATAAACACACTCTCCACACCTTCTCCACTGTTTAAGCAGGACGAGGAGGAGGGTCGCCATCATGGATCCCAGACGAAGACAAGGCACAGACGTGGGTGAGGACAGCTGCAAAAGACAAAACTCGTCAAAACGTAGCAAAACAACAAAAGAATGATCCATACGAAGCTACAGTGTTTTATTTCATGGCTCACAGAAGCTTTGGTTGCATCTAGGACATCCAGAAAAAGCTTCATCTTGGTTGATTCATCTGTTAGTTGCATCACATCAGCCTGAAAGCAGCAAAGGAACCAGATCATTAACTCCCTTTATCTGCCCGATGCTAAATAAAAACCCGAAAAACCTGTCAACTGGAGTCTACAAACATAAATAAATGGTTTTGTTGATTAGAATCGTCATAAAATCCGTATCCTGCACACAGGAAGTCAGAGCTCACATCGCTCATAAACCTCTTCTCGGTTCTTCGGAGACACAAACTAAAGAACCTTCTTGGATGAGTCTCAGTCTAATGAACAAAAGCTCCTGCAGCTGAGTTTTCTGGACCTACGTGGCTCGTGGAGAGAATCAGTAGCATCCTCCAAGCAGAGATCAGCATTTGTGTCTCTGGGAAGTAACAGATGCCTTCCTCCTCGGTCTCTGCCACGTGGCACACCAGCGACTTGACATACTGGGACCAGTACTCGTAGCGCCGAGCGTTTGAGAACTTCTGAAGCCCGTCCTTCAGAGACTGCTCCAGGGAGCCGCTGCAGAGACCCACAGAGAGGCAGAGTCCGTATTTAAGCGAGTGAAACACATGAGCACCAGTAGGTGCATTTCCATCACCGGAACTTCAGGGTAGATTTACAGTGTGTGTGTGTGCGTGCGTGTGTGTCTGCCTGCTCTGTCTTCTCGATCCCCAGTGAGTCATGGAGGATGGCTGCTTATACTGAGCCAGGATTCTCTGGAGGTTTCTTCCTGTTAAAAGGGAGTTTTCCTCTCCACTGTCCCTACATGCTTGCTTAGTATGACGATTTGCTGGGTTCCTTATATAGTAGGGTTGTCACGGTAACCGGTGTAGCGGTAAACCCCGGTAAAAAAAAGTTGACAATAATAATAACCGTCTTGTTTTTAAAAAACTATATTATCTCGGTGGGTTACCGTGGCTGCGGTGTAGGCGTGGTGACCCTTACCAGCCACCGTATCATCTGCTGAAGTTGCCGGCGGCACATGCGCGCTTTGTTGTTTACAATCAAAACTTTCTTGAAGCTAAAGCTGAAATAATGGTCAAAGGAGGAGACGGCTGCGCTCAGGAAATTTTTTATCCCTCAAAGAAGACGAAGTGGGAAGTACGGGCATTTTATGGATATTTGAAGAATGCAGAGGGAGTTTATAGAAGACGGCTATCCTGTTTGCAGCACGTGCAGAAAAAGTGTCTGTGAAAGGCAGCAACGCTTCAAATCTCTTGACACATCTGCGTGACCATCACCCACAACTCTACAGTCAACGCAAGGCAAGCTAACGTTAGCATTTTAGCTAAAATGCGTGATCCGAGGATTTGGGTTGAGGGAGAATGCAACGAGTGGCTATATAAAGCAGCTGCAGCGCCGCTACCTGCATATGAACCGTGTCGCGGACACCGCCATGTTGAAATGACGCTATGCATTATGGGGCTCCCAGAGGCAGATAAGAGTTGGTCTCTCTCTGAGAATAATTATGAATTTAACAATGATTACTGCCTGATGACATTTTCCCACATCTGCAAAGCTCACTGGAAGGACACAAACCGAGGACAACATTTTCCTGATATAGGGTTTATTACTCAAGTAAGGGTAAAAAAGTATCTGATTAGAAGGCTACTTGAGTACTGAGTATCATCTGATCTAATATTTTTAAAATGATGACATCAAACAGACAAAATAAGAAGTTATGGGCAAATATTGGTATTTTAAAGACTAAATGGGAAAATGTAAACAAATAAACAACATAATTACAAAATAACACATTTTAGGCAAGATTTAGACACAAACTGAGGACAATATTTCCTGACATACAGGGTTTATTTAATTGTGTGAAAATGTAGCACGTTTAAAAAAAATACCGCGATAATACCGAAAACCGTGGTAATTTTGGTCACAATAACCGTGAGGTTAAATTTTCACACCGTGACAACCCTAATACATAGGAAACATTTTTTCTGATTGGCTCAATGAACTGACCTGAATTAGAATGTTTACTATGTGAAGTGCCTTGAGACGACTCTTGTCGTGACTTGGCGCCATATAAATAAAATTGAATTGAATTGAATAAGTGCTCGGAATGGCCCGGTAAATGACCCGGTGCAGGTTGGTGCGCAGGAACACTGCCGATTGGTGGTGTAACTCGTCAGAAATGATGTTTCGTTCACTGCTTTTGGAGCGTGCTGCGTGTTTTGCACCAATCCATGACGTAACTCACAACGTAGCAGTCGCGATGTGCTGGCGTTTTAGCAAATTCCTTACAGAGTCACACTGTAAATGGAGACACGACAGCTAAGAGGACCGGCCTTCGGATCTCCCGGTCAGTTTCCCCCTCGCTGCATTTACCCTGAAGTTCCGGTAAAGCAAACGCACCTAGTACCACTCAGCGTGGATCTGTTACCTGACAACGTAGTAGATCTCCAGGCCAATGATCTTCATGACAAATGCACAGGCCTCCAGAACACAGGGCTGAAGACAAACACACCTCTTTAAGTTCATCTAAGCAGAGAGAGACAAGTGGCTGTAAATGAAAAACAACGACATCAGCACCTCTGTGGTTTCTGCAGGTGGGGTGAGGGTTCCAAAGAGAGGCATTGTCAGATTCTCCCAAAATTTTTCTCTGCACAAAAAACAACACGCCATGATGCTTCTCATCAAATTTCAGTTGAAAGAAACAGATGATTCAAGTGTTAAAATGTGCTCACTTGGTGCGCAGAACTGAAATGGCGCTGTCTCTGCGATCCTGCCAGAGGGCCAGCAGGAAGGCCAGGGCTGCCCGGTGGAGCAGGGGGGGGCACCAGTACTTCCCCTGCTGTTTGGAGTCGATCAGATCCAAAACCACATGGAGACAGCTCCACTCGCCCAGCAGGAACTCCTGCAGGTTCACATTTTACTTCTAAGTAACAACTAAAGGAAAGAATCTTTCTCAGATACGTTTATTAACAAGCGTGTATTATTTGATGTGAAAAGGCCATCTGGACGTTTTTCACACAAAAACTTCACTCTAACGAGGGATTTGGCTACGACGGCCGAACCGGGTAGAACAACAGCGCCGACACATTTTACTAGAACTCTTCCAGTTTAAGCAATCAGAAAAAATTCAAACAGGTATTAAGATCAGAAGTGTCACTTTCAAGTCCACTTAATATTACGGTAAAACGGGTGTATTCACTCCTCCGTCTCACACTTACGAAGGGAGCTGAGTGAGGGACAGAAAAGGAGCTACAGAGACAGATGAACACAGCGATAAATAAAATCGGCCGTAGCAGCGCCAGGAAAAAAGAAAGAAAAACAACCAAATGTGCCACTCCAACAGCTGGAGCATCAGACCCTGGTCCCCACGCCCATCCGCTGCTGCGCCGTAACGGTGTTAACAGATCAGCAGATCCCGGGTTAGTCAGCATCGCCGCAAAAGCTGCGGCTTTGACGATACCACGATTGTTTGAAAATCACATTTTTGCTCAGAAAATGCCAGACCATTCAGCCCTCCTCCAGACTGGGGCAGACGGATATATCCGTCTGATTGATAGTTGCCGTTTTTTATACGTCTGCATTGGCTGATATTTGTCCTGATTTAAAGTCAGATGTATCCTCGAGCAGCCCGGTGCTGTTGCAGAATGTAATTTTAATGTATTTTTATGTTCACTAATAACATCTGCATAATAAATACTCTAAATTAACTTTATTTAGGTGTTTGACTTTAACACCGAGCAGTGCACATAGTTAAGGTTTAACAGTTAAATTCAGAGATCTAAAACTGATTCAGCTTCAGAAATGTTGCACATCAACTGTTGCTATTAGTGGCATTGTCACATGCAAATAAGGTGGAAAACGTCTAGATATCAGCCACGAAAATCAACCATAAAAATCGGCAGTACATATCGACCATGTCTCCTACATATCGCCGTTGGTACTGGCAGTAGAAAAAACTCTCGGACAAAGTCTACTCCGAATGCAGGAAAAGTAAAGCCACACACACACACACACACACACACACTTGTTTCATTTCGCACCTTTGACCCTTCGCTTCCATCTTTTACTTCCAAATTGAGGAAGAGCTCAATGAGGCCTGGTTGGGTTTCCACGGCGACAGTGAGGAACTCCAGAATCATAACCTTGATCCTCATATCTTCGGTTTTGCTCTGCAGTCGAGTGAGGAAGGCGTCTCTGATGGCTGCTGCATCGCTGCCAAGGCAAGCATAGACGGACATGGGAGCCACCTAGAGAACATCAAAGTCAGCGTTTAGTGAAATATTCCTCCATCGGTAACCAATTGCCTCTGGCGCGGTGTGGCTCTTACTGTGGCAAGTCTCTTGAGGAGCTGGATTGCGAGGCGAGGCAGCGCCGGATCGTGTTTATGGTAAATATATTTGGCTAAAACGACAATGAGGTTGTTGCCGTGAGAGCCGTGCTGCGTGAGCGCCTGCTCCAGGGGGGACACGGCATCGGATGCTGGCTTCAGACGGATGACGTTGTTTGTGACAGAGAAGGCCAGTTTGACAGTCTGGATCAGGATCTGACCGGGACTCTCGGATCCTGAGCTAAACAGCAACAGGAAAAACAAAAAATGTAAATAAACAAAAACAGGAAAGTAAACAGAACAGTGATGAGATTAAAAGAAAACTCGTATGGAAACATGGGAGAGTTTACCTGCTGGGCTGAGCAGCTAGAACCACATCTATGGTGTCCACCCCGACGGCCATGATGTTGACCACAGCTTGTCCTGCTTCTGTGTTTGCCAAACTGTAGATGCTAAGGGACTGCAGCGCGGGGGTGCTGCACCAGGTAAAGTGTACGTATAAGTGAACAGCTGGGATGTCTTTGAGACATGTCGACACGACTCTTAAACATCCATACCTGCCCTGGTCCTCTCCTTCTGGGCTCAGATTGAGAATGGCATGAATCAGCTCCAAAATCAGACAACCTGCACAAAACCCGGTGCTGTTTACTGATTGCCTCCCTTGTTGAACTGGTAAAAGGTTAAACATATCTTTACCTATCCTCTCTCTGACCCCATAGGTGTTGTAACGCCACTTGTGGTAGGTGGGCAGCATCTCTTTTAGCACCAGCAGCACACAGGGAATGAGACCTTTGTTCTGAGTGCTTCCTAGCTGCCCCTAAAATCACCATAAACCAACAAGCCACACGGTTTAAACACCAAGACTCTGCATCAGAAGAGCGCTTTGTTTGAAAACTGCTGCTACCTTAACCAGAGTCGTGATGAGGCGAAGGAATGCAATCGTCACGGCATACTCCCCCCTGGGCTGCTCAATCTGGACCAGCAGGTTGCCATAGTTACCTGCTTTCATCCCCTCAGCACTAAGAAGATAAAATATGTTACTTCAACATAAGCGTAGGGCAGCATGCAGTTTATGATTTTAGCTCACCTGACACACTGTGCCATGTTGGTCAAAGGGATGGAGGCAAAGGGGAGGAAACCAGTATGCTGCAGACTGGACCACACCTGCAACAGGAAACGACAAAAACAAAAGGGAATTTGATTTTCTCACCGTGCTCTGTTTACATTTAAAACAGCCCACCCACCTTCCCCGGCATCCTTGCAGCCAGAACAGAGAGGCAGTTCACACAGGAAGCAATCACATCCACCGGAGGGTTGATGACCGACGTTAGCCTGGTAGACAACAGGAATCCATCTTAGTGCTCAAGTCTGTTTTCTATCAAACTAAATCACTTCGGTAAGCATTTCTAAGGTTAGCTCACCTTTGCAGCAACATGTAAATGCGTGAAGTAACAGGCAGCAAACAATCCGACACAGTCCAGTCAACGATGATGATCTTATGGACCAGATCCAGAATGGGTTTGACACGCGCACAATGAGCGATGACGTCTAAAAAACGGAAAGGGACAAAATAATCATTAAACAGTGAGAAGAATGCAGAAGTGAAACGGTAAATAAGAAGCTACAGAGCGTGTCTGACATTTGTGTACCTGCGGTTGAGACAACATGAAGAAGCATCTCCACCTCACAGGTGAAGAGAGTCCAAGAGCTATAGGAGTGGTCCCAGCGCACCACGTAGCCCTGTTCACCCGCCATCATCACCTGGCCCAGAACCCCCTGTGGCATCCACAGTTTGGTCTGACCTGTGCCTAGAAGTTGGGATGACAGTTAAATCGGTGCTTCAGCTTTTCTTTTAATGTGAAAACACAAACAATAAAAGAAGCTAACCAACCAAGAGGGTAGAGGAGTTTTGGAGCTTGTCTCCTCCACAGCGTCCCGTCATCCTTGGAAATGACATCACTGGGTTTGTGTTTGTAAACTTGTGTGTAAAAGGACATCTTATCCAAGAAGTTGTACACCTGCCAAACACACACATTATATTTAATCATTTACACAAGGAAAGGCTCTGATATAGGATTTGTACCACAAGGATAAATAAAAAAATACAGCCTCACGCAAAACATACCAGAATAAAGCAACCCCCCCCCCCCCCCCCCCAAAAAAAAAATTTAAAAATATATTCACTCCAAAAGCAATTTTTTGTACTTCTTAACCATTCTTTTTATTTCTGACACTTTTTGGGGTTCTCACTTAATTCTGCATTTCTCAACTATTTAGGCTTTTATTCTGAAGGGCAGTTTGACACCTCTTTGCTTTGCTGAGTTTTTGGTGTTGCCTCAGTCTCAGGCCCAATCACAATACTAGCACTGTCACACTTCCCGCCCTGGGCTGCGAGTGCGTAGGGTGTTCCAATTCTCAAGTGCAGAAGTTGACTATGCCCCTTTTGCACCCTTGATCGCCCAACTCTGCACTGATGCTGACTTCGGCGAAAGGTTTTACCCACAAGCCATTGCTGCGTGGGAATTTTGAGAAGGCGGAGCAAAGGCTCAAGCGCCTTTTCTTAAAATATGTATTTTCAAATGAAGGAAGTTCATTTTAGAATGATTAATAGTATTTATTCATGCTCTGAATGTTTTAGACAAAGATTTCATGTGAATAGCAATAAATGTAAATTTCGTCAAATAATTGTTTGTTTGAAAGTTATTAATAAAGATTTTTTTTAAGTAACACAGCGACCAGCATCCCAGCATGCGTTGCAGTCAGTGACACAATGCTCACTATCCCAATTCAGCAATTATTTGCACACTTATGCACTACGCACTCGAAGCCTTACTGCGTCCTTCTTCCAAGTGCACTTGACCGTAGGGCGCAGTGCGAGTTTTGGGCCTCAGTGTTCAACAGCTCGAGCCACTCACTCCAAACCCTCATAACCAATGAGATCAAAGCACAGATAAGCCTCTCCCAATTAGACTTTCTTTCAAAAGCAAGAACAAAGAGAATGCCCTTCAGAATAAAAGCCTAAAGCGTCTGCATAATGAAAAAAAAAAAAGTGTGTCAAAGAAATAAAATATGAACAAGCAAGAAGTAAAAAATAAACTTTTTGTATTGAAATATAAATAGTTAACTGTATTTTAGAGTGATTTTTATTTTGCTTTTAAATAACACTTTTTTGCTTCTGACATGTTCTTTATGGTTGCGTTTTCCTTTTTAGACAAATCTCACCCCGTACTCTTGAGTTTAAGACCTGTTGAGGGGACCAATTACCTTTTTTACAGTCGACTTGTTTGATACAAGCACAGTCAGAAGCTGCAGCAGAGGTCCTATTTTGTGCGGAAACATTCCAGCTGCACTGTCCAGGATCATCCCCAGTCCCATGTTGGGCTTCTGGATCAGTCAGAAAAGATCATCAACACAAAAAAAACCCAGTTTTATTCCTGAGACTTTTCCTGCTTGTGTTCCTTCTCACCATTTCCCAGAAGATTTCAGCTAAATTGGGAGCAGAGAGAACTTCACAGGCAACATCGATCAGGTGAGAGCTCTGTGTCTCCACACCGTCGGTCTGAAACACGGATTACATAAAGGTCAGCTAAGGACGCGGGGAGACTTACAAACAGCAACGTGAATCAGGATTCACCTGCAGGCTTTCTTCTTCAAAAGAGGTGATCACAAATGAGAGGAGGCCATAAACACACATTTTGGCTGTGCTTGCCGTACACTGGTTAGATAAAAAGAAACAAAATATAAAATGATGCATTCATGCTTTTACTTCGGGTTTTATGGGATCTTACGTTATTCCCCGAGGCTCCGAGGCCTCTCAGCATGGTTGAAAGGTACTTGAACACTCCAAGCTGCAGGGCCGTGTTGCCTATCCTCCTGATCACAGGGCTCGACTCGTCTGGTCTGAGTGTGTGTCTCAGCAACACCCAAGCCAACAACACAGGTCCGTGATGTGGGATGTCACCAAATGTCAGCAACAGTTGATCCATCTCCTGACAAACACAAAGAAATTGCACGTTCCTTATGAACGCTTCCTTGTTATTTTATTGTCAACATTTATCATAATTAATTGTTCTAGTCTAACCTTAATGATGTCAGGGGCAGCAGAAAACTGATGCCTGTCTGTACAGTCCTCCAGAGCACACTTGTGCAGGAAGTCTATGTCCATCCCTTCAATCAGGATGAGGGAGCTCAAGTATCTGTCAAGCAAAAAAAAAAACACAAAAAACATTTCCAGCAACGTCACAAAACACTCATTTATTATTATTTTCCCCCCTTTAGTCACACTCCAGTTAACGCGAGTGGCAATTTAAAGAATAAAAAAGGTCCGTGGGAGGATTTATTTTTCAATTTTACTTTTTAAAAATACAAAACAAAAACAAACTAGAAATTCTTTCATTTGCAAGATTCATTCATCCATCCATTTTTGGCTGCTTATCCGGGGTCGGGTTGTGGGGACAGTAGGCTAAGCAGAGAGGCCCAGACTTCCCTCTCCCCAGCCAATTGGGCCAGCTCTTCCGGGGAAATCCTAAGGTGTTCCCTTGCCAGCCGAGGACTGTCCCTCCAGCGTGTCCTGGGTCTCCCTTTAGGCCTCCTCCTGGTTGGACGTGCCCGGAAAACCTCACCAGGGAGGCGTCCAGGAGGCATCCTGACTAGACGCCCAAGCCACCTTAACTGGCTCCTCTCGGCGTGGAGGAGCAGCGAATCTACTCTCCGAGCCCCTCCCAGGTGACTGAGCTTCTCACCCTATCTCTAAGGGAGAGCCCAGCCACCCTGTGGAGAAAACTCATTTCGGCCGCTTGTATCCATGATCTTATTCTTTCGGTCACTACCCAGCTCATGACCACAGATGAGGGTAGGAACGTAGATCGATCGGTAAATCTACAGCTTTGCCTTCCAGGTCAGCTCTCTCTTCACCACGACAGGTACACAGCAAACGCAGCATTAGTCCGTCTATATCGATCTCGCGCTCTATTTTTCCCTCACTCGTCAACAAGACCACGAAATACAAACTCGTCCACTTGGGACAGGACCTCATCCCTGACCAGGAGAAGGCATTCCACCCTTTTCCCGATTCAAGACAATGTTCTCGGATTTAGAGGAGCTGAGTCTCATCCCAGCTGCTTCACACTCGGCTGCGAACCGCTCCAGTGAGATCTGGAAAGCACGTTCTGATGAAGCCAACGGGACCACATCATCTGCAAAAGAGACCCGATCCTCAGGCCACCAAAACGGATGCCCTCCACACACCTTGGCTGCACCTAGAAATCCTGTCCATAAAGGTTATGAACGGAATCGGTGACAAAAGGCAGCCTTGGCGGAGTCCAACTCTCACTGGGAACGAGCCCGACTTACTGCCGGCAATGCGGACCAAGCTCTGACACCGGTCATACAGGGACCTAACAGCCCGTATCAGAGGGCCTGGTGCCCCATACTCCCGGAGTACCCTTCACAGGGCCTCCAGAGGGACGCAGTCGAACGTCTTCTCCAAATCCACAAAACACATGTAGACTGGTTGGACAAACCCCCACGCACCCTCCAGGATCCCGTAAGGGTATAGAACTGGTCCAGTGTTCCACGGCCAGGACGAAAACCACATTAATCCTCCTGAATTCAAGGTTCGACATTCAGACGAACCCTCCTCTCCAGAACCCCAGAATAGACTTCACCAGGGAGGCTCAGGAGATAGGGGGAGAACTACTCCAGTATGCCAGTCCAGTAGAACTGCCCCCGATGTCCACGCGATATAGCAGAACCACGTCAGCCCACACAACCCTACAACATCTACAGCCTTAAGGAACTCCGGGCAGATCTCATCCACCCCCGGGGCATTGCCACTGAAGAGCTTTTTGACCACCTCACTGACCTCTGCCCCAGGGATTGGAGAGCCCAACCCAAAGTCCCCGGACTCTGCTTCCTCACTGGAAGACGTGCTGGTGGGATTGTGGAAGTCTTTGAAGTTTGCAAAAGTATAAACTGAAATGAAGACTGCAACAACAAAAAAAACTAAATAAATAAAAACTTTGAAATTCAAGTTTCAATCTTCTGCAATGTCACCAGCTCTTGTTGCAGCAGAAAGATAATCACCCGTGCAATAACTATCAAATAGGAGGCTTGTGCCTATTTTCCTAGTTAAATCCAGGTGGCGACCTTTTTTTGGCCAGGCAGTGTATGAAAAACGTAAAATATCAACTGAATATATCAGCCTGTCCTTAATTGATGGCTACATGGTGACGCGGTTGTTAGCACTGCTGCCTTACAGCAAGAAGGTTGCAGGTTCGAAACTTGGCTGTGTGGCCTTTCTGCGTGGAGTTGCGTGTTCTCCCCATGCATGCGTGGGTTTCCTCCGATTTCCCCCACAGATCACAACATGCCCTACAGACTAACAATTGTACGTCGCTTTGGATAAAAGCGTCTGCCAAATAAACATAAATAAAAAAAAAAACATAATTGTGATATATTTTTAACTAAGTAATAAAACTGCTTCTTTTTAAGCCTTTTATGCTGATTACAGAACATTTCAACTGAGCGGGTTGAAACCGACAAAAGAATTGGTGACATTCAGAAAGATGAGTGTAAAAAAGATGGTTTTACTACATTTAGTTCATAAAGTTGGTTACAAGATATGAACACACGTTTTTTTCTCTGTGACAGTTTGTCAGCACATTCATATCTTACAATAATAAATACATTCATCCAATTTTAACACATAAATACAAAGTCAGTGAGGTGACCTTACCCGATCCGGTCAACCAGCACGTCCATGCTCTTGTCCACCAGGTGTCTGTTAGTCTGACGCAACCCAAAGCCTTGCTCTTTGAACATTTTGGTGAATTTTACAAGGTCGGGTGGGCTCATCTCAAAGTATGCATAATACAGGAAGATGATCTCCAACAGCAGAGACTGTTCCCTCAGACACTGCAGGAACCACCGTGAGACTTGTCTCTCCGTCTTGCAAACGAGAAGAAGAGTGTAAGGAAGCAGACGGGGCTACAGTACGCTGCTGTAAAAATAAACCCAGTGTTTACCATGAGGTTGCCATGGGTTTCCCATGTTGGTGCTTCAGCCTTGAAGAGGTTCTCAAACTGTGACTGATAGCTGTTCACCAGGTCCTTCTCCAACTTGTTGACACAGTTACTGTACTCGGCCTTGACAAAAAAAAAACAAGGATTATTTACACAAAAAAACATCACATCAGGAAGAAATGCATTTAAAAAAAGAAATATGTCTCACCCGATAGGGGTGTCGCTCATCCTGGAAGTATGTCAGCAGCAGCAGGACACATCTGAGCAGACACATGCGCTCCTCATAGTAATAATCAGCGATCTGTAAAAAAATTAACAACACTAGTAAAAACAGAAATGATTGGAAAATGACACAGAAGTGACGTAATGCTAGTTTGGGTGCATACCTTTAGGAGAAGAGCCTGACTCTTCCGTTCCTCGTTGAGAACAACCTGTCACAGAAACTACTGTTAAATCTCTTCAGACCTATGATTTAGTACCAGTGGATTTTTGTTTTTCTAGTAAGTTATAGAACAAAAAAAGTTGAAAGCAAACACCTTTAAAGAATCACGAGTTCCTCTGTAGTCCTCCTGCAGATAGCACTGTAAAAGCTGCACACTCTGCTGCTCATCAAGATTCTAAAACATTATTACAACAATCCCTTATGAACCAGCAGTCATGAAAACGTAAGAATCCACCCTCTGTGACATAAAAAGATCTAAATGCTTACCAGCAGTTTACTAATCCTCAGACCAAAGTCTTTCAGGGGCTGTGCAACATCTTTGTTTTCCTTAACTTTCGCAGCGGAGGATGAACTACGGGAGGTGAAGCTAATAGTTACTCATTTATTCATGTATCTGATGTGAAAATACCTTGATGTAATTATACCTGGGTGGCTTGTAGTAACTGAGTCCCTGATGCAGTCTGTCCCAGTGCTTGTCAAGCTCTCCCTCTATTTGAGCCTGCACCAAAAATACAAATGTGTGTGTGTGTGTGTGTGTGTGTGTGTGTGTGTGTGTGTGTTTATATAGAAGTTAGAATAGCATGAGTTAAACCAGGAAATTACTTATGGATAAATTGTCTAAAATTTTGGATGGTCAAGTTCAGCATACGCTCTCTTTGAGTGAGGAGGACATACCGATTCTCTCAGAGCAGACTTCCCCAGCAAAATGGTCCATAACTCTCTACAGCTCCTAAGAGGAGAAGAGAGGTGAAAGTCAGCAAATCAATAACCTTTAATAAATGAGATATGATGCAGATCCACTACAAGGAAAATACTACAATATGCAAATTTGACTTGACAGGCTGCATTTGTGAGTGACCTCAGATGCATTTAACTGATAAAACATAAATGTGTCCTGGGCAAAACTGTAGACCTGCCCGGACTCCTTATGCCTCAATTAGATGTGAAGTTTGTCAATCAGGTTATACATATCTTTGTTTGTCAAACGCATGTTGCACATGCACCCACCCAATGCATTTAAAACACAATAAGAGAGATTTAGTTTGTGTTTAAAGAAAACTGAAATTCAAACCCAAATGATCATCAAGGTCAGATTGTAGAGAATGCTGAGCTAATGCACTGTACTGAATCACCAAGAACAATACAACTAAATATGAATGGAACCACTACACACACTTCAAACATCCTCACTGACTGCCTTAAATACAAAGGTTGATACAGAATTAAAATGCTTTATTGTTTTTCCTTAAAACCTTGAACTAAATTCTCTTAAATCGTGTTTCTGTACCAGCTTTGATATAAAACAACTTTGTCAATCTGCCTCTTTGAAATCCCATAAGTTTTTTCTCAACACCGGTCTGACAGATTCAGCAGTTTTTAAATGTCCTCTAATGTTCCTCAATAAGCCTTTTATTTATGGTAAAACTGTTAAATAATACAGTTTATTTACTACGATTGGTTTAAGGTTCTGTTGGGTTCATTTTAGAAAATCTGTCCGTTAAAATAATTCCAACTTAAGACGGTCTTTTCCATCGTGTCTAAATGATGGGTTTAGCTTCAATAGACTAGCCTCTTTTACTACAAGACGTAATAATTTTGACATCAGCACGCGTTTTCTATCTCTGCCAGAAAAATCTCCCTGGCTGACAACAGCTCTGACTGTTGTTGACATGTGAGGTAGCGCCGCGCTACAAAAACCTTTTGAAATGTTTAGCTGCTAGCACATGCTAAGCTATACGAGCATGGTGCTAATTCTTTTTAAAACAGACTGTTAAATGACTCTGTTGCCACAGTTGTGATTTAATAAATGAACACGGGCTGTAGCCAGATTTACTCATTATCAACGTCTCTTAACTATTTATTAACAATAAATGTTAGTTAGTCGCTTATGTTTCTACCTGACACTCATCTCCGATTCCGCCATCTTAGATTCTGCCCTGTGATTGGTTAGTAAAGTGTCTGACGTCTTTACAAACGGAAACTTTCTTCTTCGTGAATTGGACTTGTGCTTAATGATGCTTTACTGCCCTCCTCTGAACAAAACGTTTAATTTCAGTTCCTTGCAGCAGGTTTGTTTTAAATTTTACTTTACTGAGGCACTTTTGCTGTTCATTTTCAATTTTCATTTTTTGTTTGAATTCATATTTAGGTGTTCTGTTTACTTATCACTGAATACATTTTCTTTTATTTTAAAACTGGTTTCACTTATTTCAGATATCTCGTTTTAACATTAAGCAGACTGGATATGTGTTGTATTGTTCCTAGTAGAAATTAAAATTCCAGATATCCACGAGAACATTTCTACTGTCCAGCATGACCGTTTTTTTTAGATATGTGAAATGTAACAAATGACATCACATTTCCCATTCATGTTTATTGGCTTCTACAGCGCTTCCACAATTACAGACTTCCTGTCAAGAATGAACATTGTAGAAAGAAGAAACGGAATTAGGAGTTACATTCCAGATATCTGAAATAGTCGTTCTGAATAGTTGGTGTGGATGTTAATTACTGCTAGGAACAACTATAAATATCTAGAATGGCTGTCTGGCTTGTCAAGGACGCTGCAGCGGCAGCGCTCCTCTATATAAAGCGAAACAGACAGCTGCCGGTTACAGTAATCAATACACTTTATTGTCAAAAATCACCAAAATATTACTGTAGAAATGGGAAAATGATGGCTTCAGCATCCAGTTCTGCCAGAAGACGCTGGCAGCGCTGAGCTGTTTGGAAGAGGAAAACATTAACCACGTGACCGCCGACACGCAGACGGAGCTGTTTGACAGCTGGCTAATCTCCAGGTGCTTACAATTAATTAGAATGCGCATGCGCCTCAGAGTGGAGCTACTTGACAGATCATCTCCAGATGGTTACAATTAATTAGAATGCGCATGCGCCTCAAAGTGCATAAATTCGCAGACGTGACGTCATATACAGTTACTTTACATTAGCAGATCGAGCAGAATAGCACGCAGCTAGACAAGCTTTCAGAAACATGTCGAGCAGTTTTAAAATAGCCCTCGGTACCAGAATTGAAAGTTTAACCAACACGTATATAGTTAAGTTACTCCCACCTGTGGAAATAAATGGTGAAGTTTTGACCATTTGCCAAGATCAAAATGAGGAAATGTATTATGTGAAATGTATTCACAAGAGAGTTTTACATCGGTATAAACAAGAAGCGAACCTGCTTTTGTATCTCAATGACCTATTTCCTAATGAAAAGAAGTTTGTGAAAATCATCGAAACATTTGATTACGGCGACTGGTTTTGCTTTGCTCTTGAAAAACTTAACACAACATTGCTAAACTTTGTTGAGAATCAAGAAAACAAGCGTCTGAACATTAAGGACATTAGAACGATCGCTCAACAAATTATCTCAGCATTAAATACGCTGAAAAAAGCAGGCATCACTCATAACAACATAACAGCAAAAACTATTGAGCTGCTGGAAGACGGTTTACACATAAAGTTGAACGGATTCAGTTATGCTGGAAGAACGTCAGAACTTTCAAAGATGGAGGTCCCGATTAATTGTGGATTTAGTGCCCCAGAGATTCTCATTAACAGTCCCCTGGATGAACGCGCTGATGTGTGGAGTGTAGGATGTCTATTAGCACAGCTCTGTTTTGGGGCCTCGCTGTTTCCAACTTTCTGTGAGTATGAATATTTGAAGATGATAGTAAAGGTTCTTGGTCCGCCTAAAAAAGCTGTCCTGGATCAAGGGCTATGTACCCAGCAGTTTTTTAAACAAGGCCCTGTCTGGAGTTTAAAAGCCCCAGAACAAAATACAAAGAACAAAACAAGAAGATTTGATAAAAGCAACCCATCTTTTGATAATCTTGATTCTCTCGACCAATTATTGGAAAAGCTGCCTGAAAATGCTGAGTCCACTGACAATGAAGACATGAAATCCTTTGTAGATTTGCTTCAAAAAATGCTTCGGTTCGATCCAAAGGAGAGGATCTCCGCAATCGACGCTCTCATGCACGAATTCTTTCCTCGAATGCAAGATGACTCGAGCGAAGCGGAAGGGTTCACCCTAGATGTCGACGCTGTTATTAAACACAAATCAGATGTTTACCGATGTGATAACGTGCTTTCGTGTGGATCATTTGGAAAAGTTGGAAAATTCATACAACTGGCAACAAAACAGGTCTTTGCAATAAAAGTGTTCACAGAAGAAAATCATTTTGAACAAGAAGTGGAAACATTGCGTTTTCTCAGCGAAACTGGCCTCCTAAAACTCAACATAGTCACGTATAAAGATAGTTTTCCCTACAAGGATTGCTATTTCATCCGTTTAGAGCTGTTGGATTTAAATTTGAATGAGTTTATGAAAAGACGAAACTATAAACCTCTCAGGGTGTCCGAAATCAGACCATTCGCTGAACAGTTATTTGGTGCCCTCAAAGCTTTGAGATTCCATGACATCACTCATTTGCATATAAAACCAGGTCATATCATGCTGGTAAATCATGATTTTCAGCCCTTTCAACTGAAACTGATTGATTTTAGAGAAGCTCAATCTAGAGAACAATTATCAAAGTTTGTTGTTGCTCAAAATGGACAGTACAGCGCACCAGAAATGTTTCTGGGTGTCCCATTGGACAAAAGCGTAGATATGTGGGGTGTAGCCTGTGTATTAGCCTTGTTAAGTTTAGGTCGGGACCTCTTTCCTCATGGATCTGAATATGAAGTTTTAAGAGACATGATTAAGCTCCTCGGTATGCCAGATGAAAGTTCACTGACTACGGGTGAGCGAGTCAAAAACTTCTTTAAATGGAGCATGAAAACATCGGGGATCTTCTGGATTTTAAAAACACCAGCTGAATTCATACTGGACGGAGGAGAGACAGATGAGAATAGCTTGCCTCATTTTGATGATTTCACATCTCTACAAATCGTTTTGACAGTTGGATCAGTAAAAAGAAAACAGTCTGAACTTGAAGTCTTCGCATCATTTGTAGACCTCCTTAAGAAGATTCTGGTGATGAATAAAGTTGACAGAATCCTCCCAGCGGACGCTCTATGCCACCCGTTCATCACTAAAAAGAGGCTTCCTGTTTGCAGTTCAAGTCATGTTAATGAAAAAGAATTGGATGACACAACAAACAAAGCCGTGGAAGAGTTTTTCCTAGATAGAGGCGCTGTTATTAAATACGGATCAGATGTTTACCAATGTGATAAAATACTTGAATGTAGATCGTTTGGAGTTGTTTCAAAGTTTAAAAAACTGGGAACAAAATTGAAAGTCGCAGTAAAAATTATCACAGAAGAAAGTTATTTTGAAAAGGAATTGGAAGCTTTACAACTTCTCAGAGATCTTGACCAAAAAGTCCCCAACATAATCAAGTATATTGTTGGTTTCCCCTACAATGGCAGCTTTTTTGTTATTTCAGAGCTGTTGGATTTAAATTTGCTTAATTTTATGAAGAGACGAGATTATAGTCCTCTGAGAGTGTCTGAAATCAGACCAATCGCCCATCAGCTATTTGCCGCCCTCAGAGCTCTCAAAAGCTTCGGCGTCACTCATTTAGATATAAAACCGAGTAATATCATGCTGGTAAATCACAATTCCCAGCCCTATGGTGTAAAATTGATTGATTTTGCGACGGCTTGTAGAACAGAAGCATTATCAACCTTTGATATTGTGCAAAGCAAACAGTACAGGGCACCAGAAGTGTTTCTCGGTCTTCCATACGACGAAGGCTTAGATATGTGGGGTGTGGGCTGTGTATTAGCCTTTTTAAGTTTAGGTCGGGACCTGTTTCCACCTGATTCTCAATATGAAGTTGTCAGAGTCATGATAAAGCTCTTTGGTCTGCCAGATGAAACATTGCTGGCTGTGAGTTGGCGAGTCTATACTTTCTTTAACAAGAGGCCCAATAGATTACTTGACTCGTGGAAGTTAAAAACACCAGCTGAATACGAACTGCATTCAGAAGAGACAGTTAAGGAGTGTTGGCCCCATTTTGATGCCTCAACATCTCTGAAATATTTAATTACAAGAGCATCAAATCAAAGTCACACGCCTGAAATGGAAGACCTCACATCATTTATAGACCTCCTTGAACGGGTTTTAGCTATTAATTCAAAAGACAGAATCCTCCCTGAGGACGCTCTACACCACCCGTTCATCACTAAAGAGAGGCTTCCTGTTTGTAGTTCAAGTCATGTTACTGAAAAAGAATTGGATGACACAAAAAACAAAGCCGTGGCAGAGTTTGTCGTAGATGGAGGCGCCGTTATTAAATACGGATCAGATGTTTACCAATGTGATGAAATAATTGAAAGTAGATCGTTTGGAGATGTTTCAAAGTTTAAAAAACTGGGAACAAAATTGAAAGTCGCAGTAAAAAGGATCACAGAAGAAAGTTATTTTGAAAAGGAATTGAAAGCTTTACAACTTCTCAGAGATCTTGACCAAAATGTCCCCAACATAATCAAGTATATTGCTGGTTTCCCCTACGATGGCAGCTTTTTTGTTATTTCAGAGCTGTTGGATTTAAATTTGCTTAATTTTATGAAGAGACGAGATTATGGTCCTCTGAGAGTGTCTGAAATCAGACCAATCGCCCAACAGCTATTTGCCGCCCTCGGAGCTCTCAAAAGCTTCGGCGTCACTCATTTAGATATAAAACCGAGTAATATCATGCTGGTAAATCACGATTCCCAGCCCTATTGTGTAAAATTGATTGATTTTGCGACGGCTTGTAGAACAGAAGCATTATCAACCTTTGATATTGTGCAAAGCAAACAGTACAGGGCACCAGAAGTGTTTATCGGTGCTCCATACAGCGAAGGCTTAGATATGTGGGGTGTGGGCTGTGTATTAGCCTTTTTAAGTTTAGGTCGGGACCTGTTTCCACCTGATTCTCAATATGAAGTTGTCAGAGTCATGATAAAGCTCTTTGGTCTGCCAGATGAAACATCGCTGGATAATGGTTGGCGAGCCCATTGTTTCTTTACATGTAGCTACACTGAATCAGGTAACTCGTGGAGGTTCAAAACACCAGCTGAATATGAACAGGATTCAGAAGAGACAGTTAAGAAGAGTTGGCCCCATTTTAATGCCTCAACATCTCTGGAAAACTTAATTACAATAGAATCAAATGAAAGTCACACGCCTGAAATGGAAGACCTCACATTATTTATAGACCTCCTTAAGCGAGTTTTAGCTATGAATTCAATAAGAAGAATCTTCCCTGAGGACGCTCTAAAACACCCATTCATCATGATGGAGCGTCTTCCACGCGACAGCTCAAGTCATTGTGTGACAGAAGCATATCAGATAGCAGGAAGCCAAAACACAAAACCAGCTAGTTCAGAGGCATCAAGCGATGACTCAGAATCAAGTGAGGAAATGGAAACGTCAATTTTAACAGTAGACAAAGGAGTTAAACTTATTGACAAATCAATTGTTTATGAAGTTGAAGAAATCATTGGATCTGGATCGAACAGACTTGTTGCCAAGTGTAGAAAAGTGGGAACAGATAAGATAGTAGTGATAAAAGTATTTCGAAAAAAAAATCACTTGGCAGCTATCAACGAGGTGTGTGACATCAACCGTCTCAGTATTCTTGGCGCCAACAAAAACAGCGTGCCCACATTTATTGACAATTTCATCTATAAGGACTGCATTTGCTTGGTTTTTGAGCTATTACATTTAAATTTATGTGACTTCTTACAAAGACAACGTTGGAAGCCTATGAGTGTGGCTGATATCAAACTTATAGCTCTACAGATGTTAATCTTCCTGCGTACTCTGAAAAGAATCGGCCTCACTCATGCAGACATAAAACCAAGCAACATCATGCTGGTAAATCAAGAATCCCAGCCGTTTAAGGTGAAATTGATTGGTTTCGGGTTGGCTCTTGAGACAGCCACATTATCAGAGTTTGCAAAGGTGCAGGCTGTAGGATACAGGGCACCAGAGGTTTATATGGGTCTGCCGTACAATGAAAGTATAGACATGTGGAGTCTTGGCTGTACATTAGTATTTATGTATCTAGCCAAGCATCTGTTTCCAGAAGATGAATACAACGTTATGAGATTGATTGTAAAGTGCTGTGGTATGCCTAATGAAGATGCACTTGAAAAGGGTGAGCGCAGCAGAGACTTTTTCAAACGAACTGAATGTGGAAATAATTCTCATTGGATGTTAAAAACTGAAGAAGAATACGAGGAAGACGAAGAAATCACGATCCCTACGTTACATCCGTTTTATGAACGTTTACAGTCTCTGGATGACTTGGAGATAATGGCGCCAGATACACGAACACTTAATGAAAAAAAAGAGATTAAGGCTTTTGTACAACTTGTAAAGAGGATGCTAAAGCTTAATCCAGCAGACAGGATCCTCCCAGATGATGCTCTGAAACATCCCTTCTTCTCCATGGGGGCATATCCTCAAAGCTTTAAGTCCTGTGTGTCGGAGGCTCATGAAAAACAACCAGCAGTCAACTTAACTAACCCAGGTAAGTTTAACAAAGTAAAAAATACACGTGGTCACTCAGTCCTGACAGATTCAAAAAAGGAAATGAAAACATCAACTTTAAATTTAAAGAAAGGGGTTAAACTAATTGATGAATCAAATGTTTACATAATTGAGGAAGTAACTGGGTCTGAGTCATTTGGAGAAGTTGTCAGATGCAGACAAATTGGAAAACCTCACAGAGTGGAGATAAAATTATTTAGAAAAGAAAATCATTTGAAAGGTATCAAAGGGATGAATGACTGTAAACTTAACCCCAGAAACAAAAACAGGATCAAATTTACTGACTGTTTTATCTACAAAGACTTCTTTTGCCTTGTGTGTGAGCCTGAAACGTGAGTTTAGCACTATATATACTATAGTTAGTTAGTTAGTTAGTTAGTTAGTTAGTTAGACCAAACCCAGCATAAATAGATAGATCATTAGATGATAGATAGATGATAGATGGATCATTAGATGACAGATAGATAGATAGATAGATCATTAGATGATAGATAGATGATAGACAGACCATTAGATGATAGATAGATGATAGATCATTAGATGATAGATAGATGATAGACAGACCATTAGATGATAGATAGATGATAGATAGATCATTAGATGACAGATAGATAGATCATTAGATGACAGATAGATAGATCATTAGATGATAGATAGATAGATGATAGATAGATCATTAGATGATAGATAGATGATAGATAGATAGATCATTAGATGATAGATGATAGATAGATCATTAGATGATAGATAGATGATAGATAGATAATAGATAGATCATTAGATGATAGATAGATAGATAGATAATTAGATGATAGATAGATAATAGATAGATCATTAGATGATAGATAGATAGATGATAGATAGATCATTAGATGATAGATAGATGATAGATAATAGATAGATCATTAGATGATAGATAATAGATAGATCATTAGATGATAGATAATAGATCATTAGATGATAAATGATAGATAATAGATAGATCATTAGATGATAGATAATAGATAGATCATTAGATGATAGATAATAGATAGATCATTAGATGATAGATAATAGATCATTAGATGATAGATAGATCATTAGATGATAGATGATAGATAATAGATAGATCATTAGATAATGGATAGATCATTAGATGACAGATAGATCATTAGATGATGGATAGATCATTAGATGATAGATAGATCATTAGATGATAGATAGATAGATGATAGATAATAGATAGATCATTAGATGATAGATGATAGATAATAGATAGATCATTAGATGATAGATGATAGATAATAGATAGATCATTAGATGATAGATAATAGATAGATCATTAGATGATAGATGATAGATAATAGATAGATCATTAGATGAAATGATAATAGATAGATCATTAGATGATAGATAATAGATAGATCATTAGATGATAGATGATAGATAATAGATAGATCATTAGATGATGGATAGATCATTAGATGATAGATAGATCATTAGATGATAGATAGATCATTAGATGATAGATAGATCGATGATAGATAGATGGATCATTAGATGATAGATCATTAGATGATAGATAGATGATAGATCATTAGATCATTAGATGATAGATAGATCATTAGATGATAGATAGATGATAGATCATTAGATCATTAGATGATAGATAGATGATAGTGTAGTGATCTGTAGTTTGTATATTTATACACTGTAATTAGATCTAAGTATTATAATCAGAAGTGGTTGTTTTTATCATCAGGGAGTTTACTTAAACACTCTGTATTGACTGAGAGACAAGAAAAGAGAGAGTTGGGATCGTTTAAGAATCTTTAATTTCTATAATTATAAATTCTTACAATCTACCAGGACTAACTCCGTGATGGTTGCATATGGATTTGGATGTTTCGTGTTGGTGTGTGTGTGTTTCAGAATCTCTAGGCTGACGTAGCGAATCTGGTTGTTATGACTAGGCTACCACGAGGCTTCAGAAGCTGATGACATGAGCCGCCATTTTGCCGCAACTACGTACCATGTGGAGCCTCCCGTGTAGATCAGGAAATGGCAGGTCCTCGGACCTTCAGATGTACTGGAGCTGGTGAAACAGCGGTCGCAGCTCTACAAAGCCCGTCTGTGGGTCGACTCCCGGTATCAGCGGCAGGCGTCAGCGACTTAGCTCTTATTTTGAAGGAACGTCGTCTTGTTGTTCAAACGACGGAAATCTCCAGCTTGACAGTTCTCAGCTTAAAGTAGAAAGTGCATCTGGCCAGGCTGCACCTCTCTTTTGCGGTGATGGATCGAGAGCTGGTTGAAAACTACGTTGAGAGTATGATGTAACTCCTTTGGAGCTCAGATCGAACAGAGCTGAGGTTAAAATGGAACTGAGTATAAAATGGCGTTGCCTTGTTTTATATCCCCTAGTTGTTTACAAATCTTAGTAAAGCTGATTGGACAACTTCATTAAACAACCCAGATTCTGCCCTACGACAGACGAAAGTTCTGACTGGTTGAGAACAATGTGTCATGCGTTTCCATGTTAATGTAGATCAGTCTGTCTGGTGCAGTCCTGTTTATTCATTAAACACATAACTCATGACATCTTTATTTCACAGATCATTCACCTGATTATTATTGATCCACATATGCTCTGATTAGCTTTATCACAAATAAAGTACTTTGATTAATTAATGGAAAGCGTTCTTCTCTTCTTCTGTCTCTTCTCCTGGAATGTAAACATACTGAAACCAGCATCCGACCTTGGCGTTGTTACTGTGTGAAGGGGCAGCTGTTAAGGGCAGACAATAGGATCTTAATAACGCTACAATAGATAGATAGATGATCATTAGAAGATAGATAGATAGATAGATCTTTATATGTTTCAGATCTTAGCTCATAGTTGATCATTTCAAGAGACATTTTATTGCATTACAGTTTTCTTCATTGTCTTCTTGATCCAGTTCAGAAGATTTTCTGGGAGAAAAGCCCTAAATTAGATTAAGAAAAAAGAAAGTTATGATTAAGTTCTTGGTATTTGTTTAGGAATTTGACAGAAATCAAAAGAATGAACAGAAAAAAGCTAAACCTAGAAAACCTACCAAAACTCAGCAACTGTACTGCACCATTCAGGTCCACAAAATCTCTCAGGACATAATGCAATTAGAGAGAAGTGGTAGAAGAAAATAGAAGAGTGTGGAAAGTGGTCAGTATGTCCTTCAGCAGTCTAAAGCCCAATTTATACTTCACCGTCTGCATCGGTGCGGAGATGCAACGCCATCATGTGTCGGCGCAAGGGCTCTCCCACGAGCTCACAGTGTCACGATGGGGAGCCAAGAGGAGGTTAGGACCCAAAGATGCAGAAAACCAGATGACGCTTAGTGGAGCAATAACGGAAAATCCTTTTACTAATAATAAGTCAAAAAAGGCAGGGAGCCAAAACACAAAAATCATCCATCCATCCATCTTCTGAACGCGCTATGTCCACGCAGGGTTGTGTGTGTGTGTGTGTGTGGGGGGGGGGGGGGGGGGGGGGGGGGGGGGGGGGGGCTGGTGCCTATCTCCAGCAGTCAACGGGCAAGTAGGCGGGGTACACCCTGGACAGAGAGCCAGTCCATCGCAGGGCAACACAAAAATCAGAGTCCCAAAATACAAAACCTAGAATCCAAAAACGAAGATCAAATCTAGAGGGGGGAACGAGACAAAGGTGACAACAGAACAATGACCCAACAACAGACAGAGACACAGACAGGGTTATATACACTGGGGCATGATGGGAGACAGATAGGCTGCAGGTGTGTGGGGAGAGAAACCAAGTGAAAGCAATTAACTAATCAGGGAGGAAACTAACATGACCTAAGAGTAAAAACCTAAAGACAAGAAAAGCCAGCAAAAATAACTAATATTATAAGGGGAGGGAAAACTACAAAAACCTGTGGGAAAACATACTAAATAGACTACTAAAATAAAAAGCTGAACCTATATAAACTGCAGAGGGGTGACTGGGGGAGACCAAAGGAACACAGGACCTGGGAGGGATAATCTGGAGGGCTGCAGACCAGGGGACACATGGGGAACACAAAGAGACACATAAGGGGATTCTTAGAGGGGAATGAAGCACACAAGGAGACACATGAGGGAGACGCAGGCGCAGACCATGACAAATTATAGACCTGTATCATTATTACCTCAATTTTCCAAAATCCTGGAAAAACTCTTTAATAACCAATTGGACAAATTCATCAAAAAATATAAACTACTTGCGGAGAGTCAATATGGGTTCAGACCTAAAAGAGAAACAAAAATGACATTAATTGATGCAGTTGAGGGAATCAGTAATTCAACTGACCAAAAACATTATTCACTGGGAATTTTTATAGACTTAAAAAATGCGTTTGACACAATAAACCATAGTATATTATTTAAACAACTGGACCGGTATGGTATCAGAGGGAAATCATTAGATTGGCTTTGAAGTTATCTATCTGAAAGGAAGCAGTTTGTGAAACTAGATGCTGATTGTTCATCCTGTCAGGATATTACATGTGGCGTCCCACAGGGGTCAGTATTGGGCCCTAAACTATTTTTAATGTACATTAATGACATATGTAATGTTTCTCAAGTACTTAAGATGGTTCTATTTGCTGATGATACCAACATATTTTGTTCTGGTAGTGACTTCCAACATCTAATACAAGAGAACAATGCTGAATTGATCAAATTAAAATCATGGTTGGATAAAATAAACTATCACTAAATATGAGCAAAACAAAACTAATCCTTTTTGGTAGACATAACACTAATATGAATTTGAATGTACAGTTAGATGGAGTAAATATTGAAAGAGTGAAGGAAACAAAATTCTTAGGGGTAATAAAAGATGATGACATTCATTGGAAACCACAAATTAAATATGTGCAAACTAAAATTTCAAGATCCATTGTGGTATTAAACAAAGTGAAATATGTCTTGGATTATAAATCGCTCAGGTTACTTTACTGCTCATTAGTTCTTCCATATCTTAGCTATTGTGCAGCAGTCTGGGGTAATAATTATATAAGTGCAATCCAACCACTAATAATTTTGCAAAAGAAAGCAATACGAATCATTCATAATGACTGATAAAAGCCATTAAGAAATAAAAACAACAAAATTTCTAATATATACATACATACACACATACATATACATATATATACATATACATATCTATACATATATATATACATATATATACACACATATATATATATATATATATACACATATACATATATATATACATAAATATATATATACATATATACATATATATATATACATATATATATATATATATATATATATATATACATATATATATATATATATATATACACATATATATATATATGTAGCGGCCCACTTGGAATAACCACGCGAGATGCAGAGAGCTTCGACTGGTGCAACTTTAATCCTCTCCTTCTTTCACCTCGCATTATGACACCGTGAAAACTATATGAACAGAAAATACAAATATCACAGTACTATAATATTTCCACAAATAATGCATAGAAATCATGTTTACATTTTAAACTTAACACAAACAATTTTAGTAAACAAATAATGAATTTTACATGAAAGTAGCCGTTTTTAGCCGTTATAAGTTGCAGTTCTTATTTAAATAAAATGACAGTTTCCTTCCATTTGAAATCAAATGAACTCGTGAAATCAAATAAACAACTCGTTTCACACTGAATACACCATCAGTCTCCCCCTACCTCCTTCTGCTTCCAAGGGCGCTAAGTTTGAGCTCAGCCCAGCCAGTCTTACACACTTCACTGCGATGTCCCTTAAACATGACATACAAACGACACAAATATGAAGTGAACCACTGTAAAATACCCTTTCACAAGTTTCCATGTAGAATATGACAAATAAATAACATATTTGCATGTTTTACCAACTCTGGAGCAACACGAGCATGTCGTTATGATGAGCCAGGAGCAGAACGTTTAACGTATACAAAAGTAGAAGAACAGGAAGTAGTAGAAGAAGAGGGGGTGCTCTTCAAAATAAAAGCACAAAACGTAAAGTGACAGAACTGCATTGTTTACCACGAACATCATTTGCTGCCATTTACACTCCCACCAAATCCTACTACAATGAGCGAACGAGTACACAAAGAGCAAGTGAATTGTATAGGATTCCTTGACTCTAATAAATGAAAACCTTAAGTTGAACTATCAGAAGTATGTAGCTGAACTGTACAACATACACAATGAAGTCGTGTGCACACAAACAGTTGTTACTGTCTGTTCTACTCAGTTCTCAAGGAGAAGCACTAATTTTTGGATTGGTCTCTCAATAACTGAAGGTTTGGAGGGGGGATCTTGTTTTCTTTGAGGTTTTTGCTCTCCTACTTGCACTTTGACTCGACGGACTAAGCCATCACTGTCTTGAACAGTCTCCACCACTCGTCCTAGTGGCCAATGATTTCTCGGGAGGTTGTCGTCTTTAATGATGACAATATCATTGACTCTGAGGTTACGCTGAGGTAAGTGCCATTTTTGTCTTCTGGATATGTTGAGTATTTACTCCCTTTTCCAGCGACTCCAGAATTGTTCAATGAGATACTGAACTCTCCTCCATCTCTTTGTAGCGTACAAATCTTCCTTGACAAATACTCCAGGGGGAGGAAGAGCAACTTTAGATTTCATCGTGATGAGGTGATTAGGTGTTAAAGGTTCCAGCGCTTGTGGATCATTGATTCCATCGACTGTTAATGGGCGGCTGTTAACGATGGCCATGGCTTCATATAACAGTGTTCTGAGAGAGGCATCATCAAGTCGACCTGGGCATTGTGCAAAAGTGGCATTTAGCGCATTTCTAATGGTTCTGATCTGCCGTTCCCAGACACCGCCTGCGTGGCTGGCAGAAGGGGCGTTAAAGACAAATTCGCACTGCCTCTCAGTCAGGAAGATTTCAAGTAGTTTGGAGTCACATTGTTTAAGTGCTTCCTTAAACTCATTTCTGGCACCCATGAAGTTAGAACCTTGGTCACAATGTAGTTGTCGAACAGCTCCTCTGAGGCTGATAAAGCATCTCAATGCATTGATGAATGAGTCTGTCGACAAATCTTCGAGCATCTCGATATGGACAGCTCTAGAGTACAGACATGTGAAAATTAGGCCATATCTTTTGTATTCTTTGCGGGCTTTCTTTACAATGAATGGGCCAAAACAGTTCATGCCACTATACGTAAAAGGTGCTGAGGCTTCAAGACGTTCTTTAGGGAGTTCAGCCATCCGCTGGTTCTCTGTCGGCTGTCGAAGTTTCCTGCAAAGCACACAGGTGCGTATCAGCTTAGCAACCAGCTTGCTCCCACGAATGATCCAGAATCCATTGGTCCGGAGCTCCATTTGTGTCTGGCTTCGACCCTGATGGTGTGTCTTAGCGTGGTAGTGGGACACAATCAGCTTAGTAACATGACTGTTGTTTGGTAGAATGACTGGGTGCTTGACTTTGTGACAGAGAGATTACTGTTTTAATCTCCCACCAACGCGGAGAAGTCCTTCAGACCAGAAGGGATCAAGACTGAAGAGAGAGCTTGAGTTTGAAAGGTCTTTTCCACCTTGAAGCATTTTTATCTCATGGGAGAAGGCTTGCTGCTGTACGATTTTAATTACTGACTCAGCAGCTCTCTCACGCTCCTCTACAGTCACATGTTCACTACGTTGTGTTTGTTTAGACCTCAGTCTCTTGATTCTTGCAACTACCTTTACAAGTGTTGTCCATGATGAAAACTGACTTAGACGCCTGAGGATGTCATTGCAGTTATTGGTTTCAGCTGCAAGTACTTGAATTGTTTTGACCTCAGGATCACCGACGAGTAAGTCTGTTGAAGTGCTGGGCATTAGATGTAATTCACGCTCCCAGAGAAACTTTGGTCCTCGCAGCCAGTTCGTTGAGTGAATGTCTGAAGCACGAAGACCTCGGGATGCGTGGTCGGCCGGGTTTTCGGAGGTGTCCACATAATGCAATTGATTAGGATCACTGTTATCTCTAATCAGTTGAACACGGTTTGCAACAAATATGTGGAACCTGCGAGCATCATTGTTGATGTACCCAAGCACGACTTGCGAATCAGTCCAGAAGAATTCTTGATCAATTTTCATGTCAAGTTCACATTTTAACACGACACTGACCTTTGCCGAAATCACAGCTGCTGCGAGTTCTAGCCTCGGGATACTTGTGACCTTTGAGGGTGCGACCCTTGATTTCGCCATCACAAGACTGCAATGGACTTCATCCTTGTCATTTTTGTACCTGAGGTAAGAACATGCACCATATCCCACACAGCTGGCATCTGAGAAATGGTGTAACTCTACTCTGACAATGCCATGAAAGTCATGTGGGTGGTAACATCTCGGAACTGAGACCTCCATTAACTTGAGAAGACCGTTCATCCATTCCTCCCACCGTGGCTTCACATCTTCTGGGAGTGGGGCATCCCATCCGATGCCTCTGTGACAAAGCTCTTGAAGGATATGTTTTCCACTTAGGCTGAAAGGAGCGATGAATCCGAGTGGATCGTAGAGAGAGGCGATGACAGATAGACAACCACGACGAGTTGAAGGCTGATCTTTCAAGCTGATGTTAAAGCTGAAAGTGTCATCTTTTATCGACCATTGAATGCCGAGCGCACGTTCTGATGGGGTTGGATCAAACCCTAGAGGCTCAATCTTTGCTGCTCTTTCAGAAGGGTTCAAGCAAGAGAGCGCTGCTTCTTCATTCGAGTTGAATTTGTGAAGGCGCAAGCCTCCCTTTTTGCACAACTCTTGTGACTCAGAGATCAGTTTCTTGGCTTCATCAATTGATGGGATGCTGACTAACCCATCGTCAACATAAAAGTTTTTCTCCATGAATGTTGATGCTAGAGGATAGCTAGCTTTGTGTTGTCGTGCTAGATGCTTTAAGCCAAAATTGGCACATCCAGGGGACGAAGCAGCTCCGAAAAGATGAACCGCCATCCTGTACTCCTGTGGTTCCTTCTCCAAATCTCCACCTTTCCACCAGAGGAACTTCAGATAATTCCTGTATTCAGGAGTGACAGAGAATTGATAAAACATTCCCTCAATATCACAGATGATGGCTACAGCTTCCTTCCTGAATCTGCAAAGTACTCCTACCAGAGGATTGATTAGATCAGGTCCAGTTAGTAGAGTGTCGTTTAGCGAAACACCCTGGAATTTGGCCGAACAGTCAAAAACGACTCTCAATTTATCCGGTTTTCTGGGGTGGTAGATGCCATGATGTGGAAGGTACCACTCTGTCTCTCTCTCAGATGTTGTGGGGGCAGGCTCTGCATCACCCTTGTTAATCGTTTCTTCCATGAATGTTTTGTACTGATCATAGTATTGTTTGTTGGCCTTTAATTTCTTCTTAAGACACTGTAAGCGAACTGTGGCTAGCCTCTTGTTGTTTGGTAGGTTGGGCAGACTGTTGCCTTTAAAAGGGAGAGGCATTTCATAATGCCCGTCCTCCTTCTGTGTGATGTGGTTACTGAGGAACTGTATGAAATGAAAATCATCCTGGGACACATATTTATCCTCATGAGTTCTCTCAATGAAGTCTGATTCCAGGGCCTTTAGAACATCTGTCGCTGATGGAACTGGCAGTTCTTTTACTGTTAGCCGATGCACAAAGCTTTGACCTCCTTGTCTGTCTAGGTGGGGGTTTGATGAGCCTATTATACTCCATCCTAGTTCTGATCTCTGTGCGAACGGTTGGGTTTTGTCCCCTAAGATAACTTCAAGAGGAGCCAGTGCTGCTGGACAGTTGTATCCTATTAGGAGCCCTACATCACAGTCTTGGAGGGGTGGTAACTTATTTGCCAAGTTTTGGAGATGAGGCCACAGTAATGCTGTTTCCTTTGTTGGAACGTAAGACTTGTCTACCAGGATGAAATCACGGCTGTAGGCTTGCTGTAGTTGAATGCAGCTCTTTGAATGGAATCCTCGAACTTGTAGACCACGAACAGTCTTGCTCGATATGATTGTGTCAATAGCTGTCATAGTACTAAGTTTCAGCTGTACTGGCTGGACGTTCACATTCAGTTTGTCAAGTACATCTTCTAACACAAATGTTGAGTCACTCTGCGTGTCCAGTATTGCATATGTAAGTATTTCTCTGTGTGGTTCTTGTACTGAAGACACAAAAACTGGGACGATACTTGAGGTAGCAGAAGCGTGTTGTGTTAATGTATGGGACACAACATTGTGTGTTTCCTGACTTGCACGTTCTTCTGTGGAAGTAGAGCTGTTTATTGTTGCTTCCACAGGGTTTTGCTTCCTGTCTTCGTGTAAGCAGGTTGGGTGACGACGGCTGCATATATTGCACGTGTGTCATCTCTTACAATCCTTGGTCATATGACCCTTTCTCAAGCATCCAAAGCAGAGTCGATTTTCATGTATGAATGCCTTTTTATCTTCAACACTCTTTGCTGTGAAAGTGGGACACTGTGTGATGCCATGAGCTTCACTTTTACAGACAGAACAAGGTGATTTTGGTTTACTGCTGTTTGTCTCTTGTTTCTCCTGAGCGAAACTCTTTGGTTGTATGTTTGTGTTGAAGGCTTTGACTCTCTTTGGGATTCTATCATCTACAGGTTTGAAATTTATCAACAGTGGAGAAGTAATAGGATTACAAGCTATCCGTGCTTCTTTGCTCAAGAACTCTGTGAAGCATGCAAGATCTGGATAGTTTCCAGATGTGTCAAGTTCATCCACAGCAATTTGACTCCACTTTCGGACGATCCATACCGGCAGTTTTTTGAGCAACTTGTGGTTTTCCTCACAATCGTTAAGGATAGCTAGTCCTTTGACATATGGAGTTGCTTCAGTGCAGCTTTGGAGAAAGTCGGCGAACTCTCGTAGTGCTAGCGGGTCGTTTGTGCTGATCTTTGGCCATTTCATGAGCTTGTCACGGAAAGCTTTCTGTATGATGAATGGGTTCCCATATCTGTCTTGTAAAACATTCCATGCTCCGTTGTATGCATTCTCTGAATCTCGATAAAAGAAACCTTCTACAGCTTTGCGCGCCTCTCCAGCAAGATAATTTTTTAGATAAAACATCTTCTCACTCGCTGGGAGTGGTTTTCTGTCAATTAGAGTCATGAAGGACATTTTCCAATCAGTAAATCTTAAAGGGTCACCACTAAAGGTGGTGGGTTCAGGGACTGGCAAGCGATTCATACTTAATGAGCTGGCGATTGCTTGAGCTAAACTGACATACTCCTGGGTCACTGTCTTTTCAGGAGCTACCTGGTGAGGTTGGAATGAAGCAGCATCTGGATTCAATGGAGGTTCAATTTGTATTCTATGATAAGCGGAGCTAGTTTTGTTCTTAATTTCGTCATTGTGGCTCTCAAAATCTTCAAAACTGTCATATGCTCTCACACGAGCTGCTGCTATAGCGACCTCTTTTTCTGCTTGTAACAGTTGCAGTTTTGCTCTCTCTTGTTCCAACTGTTGTTGCATTTTCACCTCTTTGTTTCATTTCTGACAACATTTTTGCCTCTTTAAGTTTCCATTCACTTTCTAACTTGTGAAGATGTGCTTGTTGTGCTTGAATTTCTTCCATGGCCTTTGATTGCTCCAACTTAGCAGCAAGCTCTGCTTCTGCATCTACTCTACCGCTGTGGGTACTGGCTGAGTGTTTGCTTGATTTCTCTAATGACTCAAATGAACTTACAGTTTCAGTTTTAGTTGGACCAAAGACAGACCCATATTCATTTTTGTTTAATATTTCTCTTACTCTTTCTTTTTCAAGTTGATCATTATAATCTTCATCAATAGTCTCTAGACGGTTGCTTATGAGATCACAAATTTCCTTTGTCAGCATACCACAGGCATCCATTTTTTTTTGACAATCTCTGGCATTGTGTCGCTGTTACGTAGAATAGACTCATACTGTAGTTTTACAGCACCATACTTTGCCTGAATATCTTCGTGTAATTTATTGAGGTCTTCTAATGAGCAAAGGGTTTTTAATTTTGTCCTTGTCTCCCTTGCTACTAGCTTCCAAGCGTTATAGGCTTTTTTAAATGTTTTTTCACGCTTTTTGACGTCTTGGTCATGCATCTCTTGGCCTTTCTCTGTTAGCTTTCTCTCACGTGAGCTAGACTTGAGTGGCGTGTCTGTGGGATTGTCTGTTTCCTCTGTTGGGAGTGACATCTTGTTTGTTTATGCAACTGCTTTGAGTATAGCGTGGCTTTTGATTGTCCTATGCTCGAATTCACACCTATAAGCTGTAGTTATCCTTTACCACAGAGTAATATTTATCAAGCATTTACAGATTATGGACATTCAAAAGGATTTTTAGCATAAAACAGTAACCACAAAATGTCATAAATGAGCACTCTATATTAATAGTTAAAGAGCTTCACCTTTTAAACCCTTTCATAAACAGACATGTCATGAATTATTATTCCACGTGCCATCGATCTTGAAATATTCACCAATTTCAGAGTTATATGTTGGCAACCAGCTCACAAATTATTTTGACCTCAACATATTATGTTGGTGTTTAAGGCACTTAAATTACGCTGCAAGCTTGGTTGAGCGTAAATAGTTCCTTTGCTCCAGTTTTGATCTTGCCTGTGATGGATGTGAGTGCGAGCGGAGTTAGGTGACTGGGAACAGGTTGGTAGCTGGATCTCAGATGAGATGGCGTCAGCTTCTCTGCAGGGATGGCAGATCTGTTGCAGCCACGGAGTTTTCACTGTAGCGGCCCACTTGGAATAACCACGCAAGATGCAGAGAGCTTCGACTGGTGCAACTTTAATCCTCTCCTTCTTTCACCTCGCATTATGACACAGTGAAAACTATATGAACAGAAAATACAAATATCACAGTACTATAATATTTCCACAAATAATGCATAGAAATCATGTTTACATTTTAAACTTAACAAACAATTTTAGTAAACAACTAATGAATTTTACATGAAAGTAGCCGTTTTTAGCCGTTATAAGTTGCAGTTCTTATTTAAATAAAATGACAGTTTCCTTCCATTTGAAATCAAATGAACTCGTGAAATCAAATAAACAACTCGTTTCACACTGAATACACACCATCAGTCTCCCCCTACCTCCTTCTGCTTCCAAGGGCGCTAAGTTTGAGCTCAGCCCAGCCAGTCTTACACACTTCACTGCGATGTCCCTTAAACATGACATACAAACGACACAAATATGAAGCGAACCACTGTAAAATACCCTTTCACAAGTTTCCATGTAGAATATGACAAATAAATAACATATTTGCATGTTTTACCAACTCTGGAGCAACACGAGCATGTTGTTATGATGAGCCGGGAGCAGAACGTTTAATGTATACAACAGTAGAAGAACAGGAAGTAGTAGAAGAGGGGATGCTCTTCAAAATAAAAGCACAAAATGTAAAGTGACAGAACTGCATTGTTTACCACGAACATCATTTGCTGCCATTTACAATATATATATAATGTATATATATATATATATATATATATATATATATATATATATATATATATATATATATATATATATATATATATGTGTGTGTGTGTATATATATATATACAGTGGATCGGGGGGCTGCCAGAGATTTTGGGCCCCATGAAAAAATATCAAGTTGGGCCCCCTGGGGGCTCGTCCATAGCTGGAGCTGGGGTTCCACCCTCCCAGATTTGAAGGGAGAAAAAAATATAATATATATACTTCATGTTAGTGTTTCAGTTTTGCTTAATTATGTAGGTCTACATGCATTCTTACTTATTTACATATCATTTTCACCAGCTGTCTCTCATTAAACAGTGAATTTCCTTCAACAGAATTAGCAATATCAATGCTGGAAAAAGCAGGAAATGCGCATGCTGAAAGGTGTTAATCTCCCTTTCCCTATTACTCACTTAAAATGTGTTTATTTATTCTAAAATTTTATTTGGTGATAAAATTCAAATTTGGATATCTAATTAAATTTCCATGTTGTGTCAAAGCTTTACATAACTACATTTTCAGCTGTCTTTCCTCTTGAAATCAAGTATTTCTGTATGACTGACAAAAATTAAGGATTCACTACTGACAAGGTGACTTCTTTATTAAGTCTCCATGGCTTCATCATAGACACAAAATGAATAAGCACGCAGTTCAAACCGGAGTCAGTTAGGGTTACATAACATTTTAAAGTTGGATAACTTTGCATGAATACGTATATACAGGGTATCTGCAGGTTTAAGGGAGCCAAATTTAAGACTTTTTAAGACCTTTTTAAGGCCACTTTGACCAAATTTAAGCTATTTTTAAAATTAAATTTAAGCTATAATTTCCAGCTATTGCCTGGAACCGGTGCTAACCACGCTGTGAACGTGGGATTAGCCATCCAGTTACCATTAAACTTGCACTTCCCCATGGCGCAAGCTCCCACTAGCTTAACCAGCTAATGTGCTCATCTAAAAACAGCCCCCTTTCACAACCAGCTGAATGTGTATGGTTCCGCTTACGCCAACATCGTACACAAAAAATGCTGAACACCAACTAGAAATTCACGAAAATTTTTATAGAAATAAAATAATCTTGTTTATTGGATCTTTGGTAATTTAAGACCTTTGGAAACTGGATTTAAGGATTATTTGTCATTTTTAAGGATTTTCAAGGCCTTAAATTTGGAAAAGCAAATTTAAGACTTTTTAAGGACCCGCGGATACCCTGTATATAAGTCTCGACACCCATTTTTCTCAACAAAAAAACAGCTAAAAATATATTCAGTCTTGATTGTACACAGCAAGATTTATTATTTACAATGATACAATTAATAATGCTCCTGAGAGACACACTTAGTGACGGACTAAATAACAATGCTTCAACCTGCCTAGCATCCAAAACAACCTATACATTTTTACTGATTGATATTTATAATTATCATTATGTGGAAAAACAATGTGTTTATCACCAAAAATAGCCTTATTATATTCCTTTGTAATAGTACTGATAGAGAAGAGAGCCTTAAGTGATTCCCACAGACCCCCTTAAATGAGGCTGCTAGCTAACATGCTACATTGCTCACCTTCTTGAGGTTCACTGGGTTGTGAGGGGACACCTGCTGACATATCATCTGCTGCTGATTCTGGTAGGGACAAGGACGACAACCCATTTACCATAATTAGATGAAACATAGTTCCTCCCACTGTGGATATCAAAGCTAGCAAACAGATTGAATTTAACCACTCAACCAAACCCACCTTTCTTTGGGAAAAACTGTGTGACATACTGACGCCCTCTCTTCTGCCTGTCCTTTCTCCTTTCTTTCTTTCCTTTTCTGTGACCCAGACTTTATTTTTGCAGACATATTTACTGCAGCCTTGTCCCACTCTGCTGTCTGACTGCTGCGTGGGCTTGCCTCGCCTGCAATGCGCCCCTCGGCCAGGTGGACTGTACCACTTTATGCCGTTAGGAAGGGGGGGAGGGGGGCGGGGGGGGGGGGGGGGGGTTCAAATTAATTAGTCAAAATAAAGTAGGGACCTCTGAATAAATACACATTTCATAATGACTAAAAGATTGTTTGTTTAATGTCTTAAATGAGAAAAAATACTGCAAAGTAATTTTTAAACTTTATGTATTTTTTATTCAACTTTGAAACTTTTTTGGGCCCCTGACAGCTGTGGGCCCTTAAAATCTTCCTAATCTTTCACCGCTTTACGGCACCCCTGATATATATATATATATATATATATATATATATATATATATATATATATATATATATATATATATATATATATATATATAGTGTAAAATAAAAAAAAATGGAAGGATAGGCAGATAAGATAGATTAAATAGATTAAAGACATAAAAAGGGCAAAAACCTTAAAAATTGATTGATAGATAGATAGATAGATAGATAGATAGATAGATAGATAGATAGATAGATAGATAGATAGATAGATAGATAGATAGATAGATAGAAAGATAGATAGATAGATAGATAGATAGATAGATAGATAGATAGATAGATAGATAGATAGATAGATAGATAGATAGATAGATAGATAGATAGATAGATAGATAGATAGATAGATAGATAGATAGATAGATAGATAGATAGATAGATAGATAGAAGATTAATGCAGCCCCAATAGGGAACATGGCAGTGTCAGTCCCAAGCTCAGAGGGTAGTGTAAGGAATGGATCAAAGGAAAAGATAGATATATTGATAGAAGAACTGTAATGATGATAGCATAGTTTTCTATGCATTTTAGGGATTTGGAGGTAGGTGACACCCGAAAATTTATTTCACAGACCTGCCCTGCTTTCAGTGCTGCTGAATCTGCTGAACCAATGATCGGCGTCATTGGAGTGCCACAATTGATACCCTGGTGTTTCTTTTCGGGTTGGCAAGCGGAGCATCTTAAAGGGTGGTCTCTAGAGTGTTCGGGATACCTTGTTCGACTGTCCACCGCATCGTCGTCTCCATGGCTACAAGGTAGAGCGACAGCAAGGACAACCAGTCACACGTTAGTATGATGCGGCGGAGCCAATCAGTGAGCTTGTAGGCGGGTCTAAGGGAAAATAGGCTTCAGCTTGAGGCGGCTGCCTCCGCATGATCCTAGTGCCTGATATGTATCACAGTATAACAGTTTTGTATGGTAAAATCTGACGAACGACAGGAAAAATGGCACTTTGGGCATTTCAGACCCCCCCCCCCCCCCCTGCACGTGCCACTGCTCTAACAGATTGTCCATGATTTAATGACACGTTCAGAGGAGGGTGGCCATGTGGCTAACTGATGTTAGAGAGGCTTTTAAAGAAAACACTACGACCATTGCCATTTAAAATGTTACTTTAGATACAACAGATATTCAATTAGTTTCACAATATATATATTTTTGCAAAAAATGTGTGATGTGACAATATATGTGATACATGAAAATAAATCTCTGTGCATCTGTTTTTGTTTTCATGATTATTTTGTCTCTTATGCTTTAAGCATGTCATATTGTGCTCATTTAATTTTATCTAATCTGTACAATGTTTTTCTAAATCTGTGAAACTAAGAGTCAGGAATAAACACTGCTTGACTTGACTATTTTAATTTTCAAATAAATGCATAGACATTTTGGTTAGATCACAAAATATTAGTATTTAGGCTCTGCCCTCAGGACAGGCCACAGGTGGTCAGCCCACTCTGGAGCGCCCCCCCCCCCCCCCCCCCCCCCCCGAACCGCCCCTGGACATGTTCTTCTCCTTCTGTGGGTGAACCAATGAATGAGAGTGGTCGTGAACACGATTTGGTCAAGAATCATATATGGCTGTGTCAACAACACTAAAGAGGGAAACTCCACCCTAGCATGTCTGGTGATGTAGTCGGGTTGTGGCCCGGCGGAACGACATGGAGTCGACCCAGAACAGGAGGAGATAAAAAAAAAAGAACCACGTGACCCAGCTGTCAAACATGGCCTCTTACCTACTGGGTGTTCGAGGAGCGGCAGCTGATAAAGGAGATAATTCTGTTAGTAAAGCACGGTGCTAATTCATCTCACGGCTCGCATTGGCTCAGATGGGGTAGGTACTCTTGACTTTGTTGGTGAGTGTTTTATTTCCGCTCCGCATTTCTGTTTTTTATGCTAGCTCGCTACAGTCAGCTAAATTTTGTTGTTAGCTCGATCCTGTCTGCGGCTGCAGCATCACCAGAGAGACGCGGCCAGCCACCAAGTCTGTAGCAGCACAGCGCTGGTTTAGCATCAATGTAAAAAGATCAGGTGTTATTATTTGTAATTATTTGCTGAAATGAGCTACCTGTCATTCAGACCCTCACAGGAACAAAGGTTGTGGCTGATGATCCCTCTTTCTGTCTCACACACACACACACGCACACACACTCACACACACGTTCAGACATGAACTTCCACACAGCGACTGCATGAATGTTAAGTGTGGCCAAATTTTATGACAGAATCAGATAAAGAGCCACGTCAAGGCTGAGATGGTGTGTCTTTCTGAATTTACAACAGTATATTTCTGACCTTTCCTCTTGTTTTTCTTTAGATTTCCACATCAAGCAGAAACTATCTGCCAAATGATGAAGAGCAACCTAGAAAAGAAGTGATAAGAGTCCATCACTGTTGCTGACCACCTCCTGTGAGCTCCCGTATTACGACCATGCAGGTTAACCCAGTGCTCGTGGAGTCTGCCGTGGTTCTGACTGTGGTGCTGTGTGTCCACATGGTGGTCTGGAACCAGCACTCCTGGTGTAGCGTCGCCCTCGTCATTCAGGCTTTCTACGTCCAGCACAAATGGGACCATTTGCTGAGATCTGGGGCGGCTGTGTTCCAGTTCCGTCCGTCGGCAAACAGCGGCATCGTCCCCGCATCCATGGTGATGCCTTTGTTGGGCCTGGTGCTGAAAGAGAAGTGCTCCGCCTCAGGGAATGTCTACCTCGAGCGCTTCTCCATGGTGATTACCATCACAGGCATGATGCTGGCTATGTTCCTCTCCCTGATCGCTCTGGGCATCACAAGACCTCGGCCCATCAACACTTGTGTGATTGCGGGACTGGCTGGCAGCGCCATCCTCTACACAACCAAGCAAACGCTGACCGTGTCCGAGGTCATTGAGGTCTTAGAGGTACTTTTGATTTTTGTTTATCTTAGCTTGATTGTACTTTACCTGCTGCCACGCTGCTTCACACCTGGAGAGGCCCTCCTCATCGTTGGTGGTATCAGTTTCATCGTGAACCAGCTCATCAAACGCTCCCTGAACCTGTCCGAGGTCAAAGGAGATCCGGTCAACTACTTCCTGCCTGTGGTAGTGATCGGCTCCCTGCTGCTGGGTGTCTTCTTTGCTCTGCTCTTCTGCTTTATGGAGTCTGAAACTTGGGTCTCCTCTTTTTTCTTTCATATAATGACAGCTGTTCTGGTTCTGGGGATCCTGCTGCCGTGGTTGTCCTTGTTCATCGGCAGGCACCCGATCATGTGGCTGCTGGACTTTATCACGTTAAATGACAAAAGACTCTGCCTCCTGGGGTACTGGGCCCTTCTGGCTGTTGTGGCCACTGGTGTCGTGTTGCATCAGAACTATCAGCGCCAGTCGGGATCCAAGAAGCACCAGGCCTCCACTATTGTCAGGAAGTATTTCCATCTGATTGTAGTGGCCACGTACGTTCCTGGGCTCATGTATGACAGGCAGCTGCTCCACGTGTCGTCTGTGGGTTGCTTGGCGGTCTTCTTGTTCTTGGAGTATGTGCGATACTTCCGGATCAGGCCTCTGGGACAGCTGCTCAGGCAGCTGCTCACCTTGTTCCTGGATGAGCGAGACTCTGGGCCCCTCATCCTCACCCACATTTACCTTCTGCTGGGCATGTCTCTGCCCATGTGGCTGTTTCCTGGACCCTGTGCTCCAAAGGGGATGCTCTCTGGGGCAGCTGGTCTGGTGCCCTACGCAGGCGTGCTGGCTGTGGGAGTTGGCGACACTGTGGCGTCTGTGTTCGGCAGCACCATGGGGGAGATCCGCTGGCCCGGGACTAGAAAAACCTTGGAGGGGACGGCGACATCTGTGTTTGCCCAGATCATCGCTGTTGCGTTGTTCCTCATCTTTGACGGAAGCATCAATCTAAACTCGAGCTACTCGTGGATTTTTGGCTCCATCAGCCTGGTGGCGCTACTGGAAGCCTACACCACTCAAATAGACAACCTTCTGCTCCCTCTTTACCTTTTTATCTTGCTGCTGCTTTGAATAAACGGACCTAAACGCCAGATGACCTGTAAAGGTGGTTGGGATAACGGCTCTAATCACAAAACGAACAAAATCCACACTAAAGAGGCGAGAAGGAACCGTTTTGAGAGATTTGACTGATTTAAAAAGAAAAATCCCACTAAACAGCAAAGAACCACACAACCGCTGCAGTGAGACACTTTAAAGCGAGTTTTGAAGAATCGCGAGTTAGAGTTGCTAAATATTCCTGCACTCAGTGACGGCAGTGGTGTGGCTTTCTGGCCTCTGCCGCCGACACCGGCAGCTTTTAAATTATGCAACGGAGATTCCGCTTGGCAACGTGAAACGTCCAACAAACACACAGAATTCTGGAATTGGGGGTTTTGATTCAGTATTTTCTTGCATATTTATTAATTTTTTTGCTAACAAAACATGCCCATGTACTGCCTCTGTGAAGAACAGTAATAAAAGTTTAGTCTTAGTCAACTTTTTCATTCACATCTCCAACTTTTGCCTCTCTGAAGGCAAAATGAAGGAGATCACACTTAATATTTGCCTTAAAAGCATCTCTGTCCCTTATTTATTACCGAAGCCGTAGATTAAATTAGCATGGCGGTCCCGCTCAACTCTTCTCTACAAGGGCTGACTCTCTTTTTGCTCTTGCATGGCACAGATGTTAAATCCAGTACTGTAACGTGTGCCGGCAGGTACCCCAGAGTGTACTTGTGGTTCACACATTTACTTTGCGGAGTATTTTTGTGCTTTATTGGAACGTCTGAACAAATGTGTATATTTCTATGTAAAACTGAGCCTAGATGGGCTTTGGGCCAAACCAATAAACAAAGGCCTTCTGTTTTTGGACAAATGTTTCCTTATTTATTACTTAAAATAATTTCCAAGATCTTGAAATGGTTTTTAGGTTTGATCTCATTATTAAGAGATGAAAATGCTATTTAAAAAAATCATAAACTTGATTTAAGCTTTGGTTTGTTTTTGATGTTCGATTTTTTTTCTTAATGTGACCATTTATGAGCATGATTGTTTTTTTTTTCATCATTGGTTTTAAATACTGTAACACTGCATGTTGTGCTTCAAAGACGAAAAAAGCCTGTAGCGGCACCCATGTGACTCATTAAATAATTAAAAAGACACAAACATGAAGTGTTTTGGTTTCTTCTTTCAGTTTTATTTCAAATCTTGATGGCAAAAGGGTGAGCTTATGGTCCTTCAGACATGATGTTTATATGTTGGTCATATGATTTGAATCTAAATGATACAAAATTGTCAGGAAAAAGAAAAGTAGTGATGCACTGATGTGAAATTTTTGGGCCTATACCAATATCCGATATTAAGATCACTGTTATGGCCGATACCCAATATTTGCTGATATTGAGATACTGACAGTAATGCTTCTAAAATAAGCAGATTTTGTATAGAATAAAAATGATTATAGCTGAATTTACGTTACTATGTACACACGTCACACACATTTACGGTTCTGAGATGATTACAATCACTCACATGACTAAACAATTACAAATCACCCCCCTGATCCTCTGAAACAGGCAAACAAACGGTGACAAGATGGATAAAATATTGGTTGTTAATATTGGCCTGTTTTGTTTATTGTTATTTTTTAATCAGACCGATACCGATGTGTTAAAAAATGACTAACATCAGCCGGTACTGAAATTGATGCCGATATATTGTCCATCCCTAAAGAAAGGTGATTGGTTTGGGATGATACATAAGTAGAGGCTATTAAACCACCTGTTTAAGTCAGAAATGTTAATTTCAGTGAAGGTCAATCATTTAAAACACTGATATTTTCGACTAATAATGGAGTTCAGTGGTTCTCTCAATACGTGGGACCAAAACCTGATTAAGTATCAGATATTATGACAAGAAAAATATTTTCCAGCTGAATTAGCATCTTCTTTCATTAAAAATTTTCTTCTGCTGCTGATTATTAAATACTTTTGAGCCTGTAGACATCTGTGTACATTACACATAAAGAAATGAAAGCTACATCATCAAAGCCTCGTTTCTTTTGACGTTTCCCATTCTGTCTCCATACTCAGCATTGCCAAGGAGCTACAGGTAGGTCAGAGCAGAGGTGGTTGCCAAAGTGGGTGTCAGGGCCCTACTGTGGGTCACCAAGAACCACACAGTAGGTCTTGAGTTGCAACCATTGCTGAAGATTAGGGCTGGGCAATTAATAAAAAATTTATCGTTATCGAAATTTCTGACTCTTATCGAGATCATTTTTCCAATGTCAATAAATTTGATAAATAAAAAAATGAAAAGATGTGTGTAGGTTGGCAACGTTCATGTCCCTTTAAGAAGCTGTACCACCTTGAGTCACTAAACTCAACTTAAAACATGTGACATCCCCATCTAGTGGGCAACTTTTGTTTGTACGCATACCTGTAGTTATCGTCCATTAATCGTTATCGAGGTGAAATCCTCAATATATCGTGATATTGATTTTAGGCCATATCGCCCAGCCCTGCTGAAGATGTATTTTTAGCATAATTGTTACAAAAACTCAACTAAATTATCAAAAATGGAAACAAGTGAACACAAGCTTTTTTTTTGCCGTGTTTGTATCGTCAAATCCATCATCTTGACATTTGCTATTTTGTGGGTTTGAAGTTGAAAAGTTTGGAAACCACTGGTTTAGAATGAAGCAACAGAATTTCTGCTCAAAACTGGAATCTGTTTTACAAAAGATTAGCCTGGCCTGCCAGACTCATCCTCTGTTTTCTGCACATGAGGAAGGAGGCATGGGGCTGGCTGGTCAGGCTAACGAGAGATTCCTTCTTGGGTAACATTTTTACAAGAGATAAAATACACTGGATTATCTGAGAACTAAAGAAATCAAGGATGATTATTACACTTGTTTCCGTGTAAATGGCAGCAACACTTGTTTATAAATTTTGTAATAAACGAGCCGCGTCCCAATGACAGAAAACTAAGCAGATTTGATTTTTACTTTTTCAAATGACCAACAATAAGAAGCTTAGAGTGTAGCTTATGTTTCATATACAGTATGTAACATGCAGACTTCTGCTAAACACCGCAGACACAAATTAAAATGTCAGTGTGGTGCTGAAACTAATAAATCATTACAAAAATCTACAAAAAACATTGCACTAGAAAATGGTTGCAGGTATTTCAGTAATCCAAAAGGGTTTTAATTGAAGGCAAATGGACTTTGAGCAGAAACTACCTATGAATACCCCTCCTCCCTGCCCCCAATGAGGTGTTAGGGATGAGGGGTATTCATGTGTAGTTTCTGCTCATTAAACAACAAAAGAAAACTACAGTTTATAAGCTTGACCCCATCAAATTCCTGTCAGAATTGACACAGCTCCTCTAATGAGAAGCAAAACATCTTCAAGAAACCAAAGACGTCCAGGGGCCTCATTTATCAAGCTTGCTTACGCACAAAACGGGGTTGGAGTAACTTTCCACGCAAACTTTGGGATTTATAAAAGAAAACATAGCAGAAAAATGTGCGCAACTTTAAGTTGACTAAGGACCTTGCTTACGCACATTTTGGACATGGAGCGCACCTGCAGTGCAGCTGCTGAGAAGGATAAAATGATGAATTCCAGCAGCATTATCACTTGTACTGCTTCGTGTTCACACAGAACAAGAAAACTCCCCACCACACACACACACACACACACACACACACACACACACACACACAGAGAGAGAGAGAGAGAGAGAGAGAGAGAGAGAGAGAGAGAGAGAGAGAGAATACGAAATGCTGAATATCAGCAGGGGGGCAGAATGAGACAGAATGTCATGCGTCTGTGACAGTGTGAGCGTTCTGTCACTGTGACTCGATTGATCATGCGCCCTGGCTACTTGGTCAAGGCAGATCTCTGTTTGGCTAACTGGTTAGTGTGTGTGACTTTCACCTGGGAGTCTGGGGATCGAATCCTAATTGGACAATTTTTTTATATCCGCCAAAGATCTCTCTGCAGAATTCACAACATTGACGGCTTCAGCAACGCTGTGCCACTCTGTGGATTTTCTCTTATTTGTTTTGCAAAAGCACTTCCTTTCATTTCTCCACCTCACCCACAAGTACCTCAACTTCTGATTCGGTGAAATAGCGCTGCCTTGATCTGCGGTTGCCATTGTTAATGGTGAAATGCTACAACGAGCCGGCTTATGTATATGCATGAGATCCACAAGGCACTTTGCATTGACTATTTATGGCAGTAAGTGGGCGTGGTGAGGGCGGGATGTGACTAAAAAGCAGCTGAGAAACTTTCTCGTTAGTCTCTGATTTATAAAGCAGAGATTGCGTGCAGCTGTGCGTACTCCATGTTAGATAGATCACAAACCTACTTGGCGTAAGTACATTTTTTTTGCTGAGCTTAAATACGGTTTTAGTAAGGATTCTACGCAATGTTTTATAAACGAGACCCCAGTTGCCTTCATTTAAACTCCCTTTGGATTACCATGACCTGGATGACTGAGAACCTTCACCAGCAAGTATTTCAGTAAAAATAATAAAAACTCGGGCAAAGTTTAGAGTTTCTCTCAACGGCTTGTTTCAACACAAACACATGATTCTAGCATTGTTTTATTTTTCTTTACAAATTTAGTTGATCAATTTTTTTTCTTCCGGATTTAAATAAGGTAATGGAGAAATGCTGAGAATCTATATTTCAAACTTAACTGGATATCTACTTAAATGTGTCACTGATCGCAGCTCCCAACATGTTGGTTGGAACACACATTCGATCCCTGTGGAATATCCAGAGTCCCGTTTACAAGTGAAAGCTTAAAAAATACTTCAATCCTGATAAGATAAACCTCATTTGTACCGCAACCTTTTACGTGATGATGGTTGATGTATCATGTAAAGTTAAAATATGTGATCTTTCTTCTGTTTTATGTATAATCAACGGGGTCAAACTGGAGTTTATAGTTTATTTTTCCTTTACAGATGTATCACATTTGTACGGGATGGTAACAAAAATAAATCATCCAAACTGGGGTGGAGAACCACTGTCCCGGTCTGCATGTGGACTGAATCTGACTCATAAAACATGTTTTTAAAAGCTTGTTTTACAACTTTTTCACTGTTAAACCTGTTCTCACTTGTTATGCAGCATAAAATATCAAAGACACCCTTCATTTGAGGTACAGAGGAGTAAAGGGGAGCTCCTCGGTGGGCTGCAACCTTTGGGACAAAAAACAGAGCACATATGATTGATGGGGTTAAACACATAGAAATAAATTATTACAGCCAAATAAAAGTCAATTTTATTCATATTTTACATTTGCAGAGGTCTCTAGTAGAAATTAGAGTTCGACCAATCTTTTCCATTGGCGATACCAATGCTGGTATGTAGGAGACAGGGCCAGCCGATGGCCGATGCACACTACCAGTTTTTGATGGGCTGATTTTCATGACCAGTATAAATGGTAAATGGCCTGTATTTGTATAGCACCTTCTTTAGCATTCTACAACCCCCCAAGGTGCTTCACAACACAATCCGACATTAACCCATTCACACGCTGGTGGAGATGAGCTATGATGGAGCTACAGCTGCTCTAGGGTGCACTGACAGAGGCGAGGCCTGCCAATCACTGGCGACATCGGTCCCTCCGACCACCACCAGCAGACAAGGCAGGTTAAGTGTCTTGCCCAAGGACACAACAGCTGTATTCTCTGGTCGGAGCTAGGTTTAAACCTGCAATCTTCCAATTACTGGACAACCCGTTCTACGTCCTGAGCTACTGCTGTCCCATGTCTAGGGATAACCCATAGTTCCCACCTCATTTTTATGCTAAAATGTCACTAAAAACATCAGTTGATGCACAACATTTATGAAGCTGAATCAGTTTTTGAACTCTGACTTTAACTGTTAAATATTAATTTTCTGTACTGCTCAGTGTTAAAGTCAAGCACCCAAATAAAGTTAATTTAGAGTATTTATTATGCAGATGTTATTAGTGAACATAAAAATACATTTAAATTAAATTCTGCAACCGGGCTGCTTTAAATCGACTTTACTAAGGACAAATATCAGCCAATGCCGATGTATAAAAAAAATCAGTAAATATCGGCCCGTTATATCAGCCAACCAATATTTCGGTCTACACCTAGTAGGAATTAATGCCTTGTAGTTTTTCTCAGGGGAAAAAGTCAGCTGGAGGAGGAAGTAGCAGTAGATTACAGGATTTGGAATCTTATTTCCTGATATTTGGACATCTTGCCTCTGATTGGCTAACAGCAACATGACTCTACCACTGACTCCGCTTGCTTTGCAACGTTAATGTTTTACCTTCAAAAATCACAGGAGCCTGAAGGAGTTCTGCTGTGTGGTGGAGTTGTTAATGCTAATGGTTAGCTTCTACTAGCTGAGATGTCCTCTGCTGTTTCCTGGATGCTAAAACAACCACAGCCTTTCCCGTCACAAGTCCTAATGGGCCACGTATAAGTGACAGTGTGACGTAGATCTGTCAGGTTTTTTTGAGCAGAGTGTTTTTTTGTCTTTTTTTATTTCGGAAGCTAATGGGGGAAATAGAGGTAGAAGAACATTTTTACATTCAGCCTGCATGTTTAACTCAGAGTTATCAAAGATAAATAAAAAATGGTTTCTTGGTGAACCTGCTCTTTTAAATCCAAATTTTATTATAAACCTGTTTATTCCATTTAACTGAATTGCTCTGCTACATGATTAAAGTAAATTTAAATACAGATTTTAAAAATAAAATTTCTTTGAAGTAATGACTTCATTAAGACCACAGTAACAAAACGAGCTCTCACCAGTTGTCGGGGCTCCAGTGGGTATCCAAGGCCTCCATGATGTGGAAGGTGTAGACATGGCGAGAGTCGTCGGAATTGTTTTGAGCACTTCGATGCACAACTTCCCCGTGAATCAGAACCACACCGCCTGAACACATTGAGAGGGGTTCACAGCTTCAACCCCGTTTTACCCAGACATGAAATCTACATTAAATGACAGTTTACCTTTTCTAACAGGTGCTGCCACAAATGTCTCTTCATCATACGGCCGCTCTCTTCCAATGAAGTCTGTTAGTGGATAGGTGTCTTCTGGGGTGCGTACCATACGGCGAGAGATCCCAGCTGGGAAAAGGACATAGTCATTAGCTCTCTTGTAACATGAGGGAAATGTTCTGTAACAATTTGATACATACTACTGTGTGATCCTGGGATGAACCACAGACAGCCATTGTTAACTGTAGCATCCTCAAGGGCGATCCAGAGACCCATCACTCTGCCCAGAGGCTCCGTGTACAGAAAAGTAGCATCTTGGTGTGGTGTCACTATAAAACACACAAGAGTTTACAGTGGAGTGTAGACATGCGGCAATAGATTTGCATGGAAATGAATGTTCAACGTTGAGATCCAGAGTTTTCCCCCTTTCAGGAATTATGTTAGCCTGGTAAGCCATCCTATATGTAAAAATATAGTGTGGCCACGACCCGCAGGCAGAGCTCAGTCGTGGGGCGGAATTTATGGTTGTCTTTCAAACTGTCTGTGCACGCAATGGGACAGTGCTACAACCAATTGGAACCAGAAAGTGATGTATTCATCACTACAGAAATCGGTCAATAGGGGAGTCCATCATACACCGTTGAAGACGAAGAAGCAAATACACTCCTTTTCAAAATAAAGAACTTAAGTACCTCTGTCTGCTCATGTCTCAAAGAAAAGACCAAGTCAACATCATCCAAAGTTGATGCTAAAGCCGTTTCAAATGAGCACCTTTCCTGAGCAGACGACATCTTTGTAGTTGTTCTCTGTTGCAGCTCTGGTGCTTAGCTCGCCCAACCTGTTTGAGCCAATGGTAGACCTACTGAAGCTACAATGGACCGTGGCTAGGCCAACCCGCAGAGCAAGATCTTTTGATACTGCCATGGTTGGCCTACATTTAAAGACTAGAGTTATGTTTGATTTTTTTTTTTAGAAAATCAGTTATATTCTTACCCTGTACTGTGACAGAATGTGGGCAATCCATCTTCTTTTTTCCATAAAACCACATGCCATTTAAACTGAGCGCTGCCAAGCATTAGCCAATAGTGTTAGACATTTCTTCCAGCTGTAATTATGGAAGTAGGGATAGAGGCTTAAGGTGCAATACATTTTTCCACCTCTAGATGGTGCCCACTGACAAAACTATGGATTTTTGTTTAATGAACTTTTAAAATGCATTAAAAATTAAGATTTAAATTTGTAAAATAAATAAGCAGAAGTTCGATATATGGATTCTGCACATATTCAAACCATAACACAGTGTAATATTCTGTTATTGTCAGATTCTTTCTTTTAGCATCAAATTTGTGCATTTTAAACAAAAAAGAAGTTTTTTTTTTGTTTTTGTTTACCAACAGTCAACAAGATTATGGCCAAAGACGCAGATTATATATACATATTTTTTTTTTACCTTCTCCACCAATTCCAGGTTGCTGTAAAAAAATAAAGAAATGCTTATTTGAACACTTCTGTGCATGAACACACTGTAAGATTAATTTCAGCCACATTTACCTTAAAGATGTACATGCTTTGCAGTATCACAGGGTTACTAAGCCCCAGCTTCTTGGCTATGCCCTAGCAGAAAAACACATGTAAGTTTGCGCCTCATTCACTGATGCTGCATCCCAGTGAGCTCACCTGCACTTTGGGTGAATGTGTGACCTTCCTATACAAAGACTCGTGTGCATGTAGAGCTAAAACAGAAGAAAAAAACTGGTTCAGGAACTTTTCTAAAGGCTGTTAAGTAAAACAATCAGGCTTCCTCACCATGTCCAACTTTATTGAGAGACCGCTGCTTTGGTACGATGAACTCCCCTGAAAGTTCAAATACACTAAAAGCTCATTTGACATTTGTGGGACATCTGTGTGGGAAATAATTGACAGATCTGAAATAGTTTCACAAGAGCTCACCTTTGTCATCAAAAACCCCTTTCTCAAAGAAAAAGCGGACCTTATCTCCACTTGTGATGAAATAGTCAGCATTGCCCTGTGGAACAGAGTTTTAACACTGATCAGCCAGTGCTCTCTGTAATGATTAGACTGTGGGCAGGTGAGAATGCACCTTTAATAAAAGGGTTCAACATTAAAGTAAACCAAGACTCAATTTATTCAACCTTACCTGCATCTTTAGGTAGCAATACAAAGGAAACATAAGAATACATTTGAGTCATTTTCTTAAGGGTGTCATAGACCTTTTCCTAGCTGCTTAGTTAGACACCTGCTTTTGGAGCTGCTCGTCGTGGTCGGTAGAGAAGGAGATGCGGCAGTGCTCAGGGATGTCCATCCTGTCCACAATCTCATTCATTCTCTGCTTCAGTTCGTCACACTCCTGGGGGGTCAGAAGCCCATCCAGAACCACATACCCATCCTCTTTGTACTACGAGCCAGAGAAAGGTTAAATCAGTGGTGGCAGATGTACATTATAAAGGAGTGAAAAAGGTATCCAAGACATTTTTTCATTTAAGTAAAAGTATTAAAGTATGTATTGTGAAATGTAGACCTACTTAAAAGTAAAAATGTATATATTAAAAGTATTCAACTAACATTTAAGAGATGAGTGCAATGCAAAACACAAGTTTATGTACTTTTACTTTTGAAACTTTTTGAAAATACAGTGGGGCAGAAATTACAATTGCTTTAAAGTGGCAAGATTTTTATCTTATATATATATATATATATATATATATATATATATATATATATATATATATATATATATATATATATATATATATATATATATATATAAATCCTGTCTTCTAAAATGTAGTAGTAAAAGTCAAAAAAAGTAACAAGAAAATTACTCAAGTAAAGTACAGATTCAGTTTTACAGTAAAGTACCTGGTTAATGAAGCTTGTGACCAAATAACTATTTTTATTTTCCAGACTGAAATTCTAATCTAATAAAACGATTTTTTTTCATAAAAAGAAAAAAAATACACGTGCTATAGTTCATTTTTGATTATTTTGTTTTTAAAGTTCTAAAAACGTCAGAATTTTTTGAATCACTTGTGTTGTTATTAATACTTTGTAACTGCATCAGTTGAACTGATCATTTTGATTAAAATAAAAATTCTGAAAATTCACACACACACACACACGCACGCACGCACACACACACACACACACACACACACACACACACACACACACACACACACACACACACACACACACACTGTATATAACTGATCAGTTCACCCAAACGTTCATACTGCGCAGCATGAAAACTTTTCGCACTTACAAGATCTCAGTAAACATTTAGATGTCTCCCGGTTTATCTAAGCACGTCTCAAAAGATAGTTCTCTTACAAACATGAAGAAAGATTTCTGCATCTTTCATTTTAAATGATCAGATCCCAGCTTCAGGATTTTAGAATTTTTGTTTAAATAATTAATTTCATTTAATTCGGACCTTCTGCACATCCCGATCCGTCATGAAATCCATTCTGGTCCGCTCGGAGGAGATCTTGAAGAAGGAAAAGGTACAGTGGGGGAAGTTTGTCATCCGGGTTACATACAGTCTGACCACGTGAGCTGTCAAGATCAATTCAACTACGTACAGTGTGTTGTGTAATAATAGGATTTAAAATCTTAACTCTTTGGTTGCAGCTCGGTCGTACTGAATGTACTGATGCAGTGGGGAAGAATGGCCACTAGATGTCACTGATGTAACATGTTAAGTACAATAAACAGCCACAGTGACACCGTGTGGCCATTTTGACCTCCTTCAGATAGTTTAGTTCTTCGTCATTTTTTAAATTATTGCATATTTTTTACTTAAAATGTTTAATAAAAAGACAATATGCAACAGGAATGATTCTAAAACCAAAATGTGTCCGTTTCCCAGTTATTAATCTACACCTGATTTCTGAAACCTGGATTCAGTTAGTGCATAATACAATTATAATCTTTTAGATGAAGGTTGTTGGGTCACTATTTTGCATTACAGGTACAGAATAAATGTTGTCTGGGAGAGTGGGGTGGGATAGAAGACAAGAAGTACGATTCTCTACAAGGACTCGGCTCTCATCGTTGACTTTGAAGAGCCGTTCAAAAGATTTATTCGTTTGTGAACGTCACATCACTACAAGTCTCATGATCTGTTCCTTTGTTTTTGTACCTCAGCTCCAGTCATTGACTTTGCTTCCTATCAGCTCACGTGTTCTCCTTTTGGAACTGTCCCAGAATTTCAAAGCATCCTGGTTCTTCCACTTCTGGTCAGATTCCCCTTTTGTTTTAGCTTTCTTTCGTCTGGTTTCATGCCTTCTTTTGCTTCAAGATATTATCTTCAGTCTAGTTCCTTGTTTTGATTAAACCTTTTCTTAGTTCCTCTTGTTCCTGCACTTGCACCTTGGGTCCAACACAGACCTTGAGAGAACAACCAAACCTCAAGGACCCAGGAGGTGAACACATCACTCTCTGGAAGATCTGCTGCAGACAGGCTGTGAAGACCATTTATTTATTTATTTGACCTTTATTTATCCAGATGAGTCGATTGAGAGCTCATTCTAATTTACAACAACGATCTGGCCAAGAGGCAGCAGCAACAGACACGCAGTTAGCTTTACGTGAAAGAACAACAGGTAAGAAAAAAATACTAGACAAAAATAAGATTAACAGTTAGACATAAAGACAAAGGACTGTTCTCATTTATAATATGTACAAGTAATCAAAACAGATTTAAAACAGTCTAAGTAATCAGAAGCAGATTGAGGCACATTGATCAGAAACTATTGATTGTAATGAATTATTGAAGGTAGATAATGGAATGTCGGTTGTGAGCTTTAATGGTGTTTGCAGCTCATTCCAGTCGTTGGAAGCAGCAAACTGGAATGAGGAGCAGCCAAAGGAGGTGCGACTTTTGGGAATAACCACAGAGATTAAGTTACTGGAACGTAAATTGCACTGTTACTGGGAGTGATGAGTACTGAGCAAAGATATGACGAGTTCTACCGATGATTGTTTTGTACAGGTCCTTCTCAAAAAATTTGCATATTGTGATAAAGTTCATTATTTTCTGTAATGTACTGATTAACATTATACTTTCATATATATTAGATTCATTACACACAACTGAAGTAGTGCAAGCCTTTTATTGTTTCTCATATTGATGATTTTGGCATACAGCTCATGAAAACCCAAAATTCCTATCTAAAAAAATTAGCATATTTCATCCGACCAATAAAAGAAAAGTGTTTTTAATACAAAAAAAGTCAACCTTCAAATAATTATGTTCAGATATGCACTCAATACTTGGTTGGGAATCCTTTTGCAGAAATGACTGCTTCAATGCGGCGTGGCAATCAGCCTGTGGTACTGCTGAGGTGTTATGGAGGCCCAGGATGCTTCGATAGCGGCCTTAAGCTCATCCAGAGTGTTGGGTCTTGCATCTCTCAACTTTCTCTTCACAATATCCCACAGATTCTCTATGGGGTTCAGGTCAGGAGAGTAGGCAGGCCAATTGAGCACAGTAATACCATGGTCAGTAAACCATTTACCAGTGGTTTTGGCACTGTGAGCAGGTGCCAGGTCGTGCTGAAAAATGAAATCTTCATCTCCATAAAGCTTTTCAGCAGACTGAAGCATGAAGTGCTCCAAAATCACCTGATAGCTAGCTGCATTGACCCTGCCCTTGATAAAACACAGTGGACCAACACCAGTAGCTGACATGGCACCCCAGACCATTACTGACTGTGGGTACTTGACACTGGACTTCGGGCATTTTGGCATTTCCCTCTGCCCAGTCTTCCTCCAGACTCTGGCACCTTGATTTCTGAATAACATGCAAAATTTGCTTTCATCCGAAAAAAGTACTTTGGACCACTGAGCAACAGTCCAGTGCTGCTTCTCTGTAGCCCAGGTCAGGCACTTCTGCCTCTGTTTCTGGTTCAAAAGTGGCTTGACCTGGGGAATGTGGCACCTGTAGCCCATTTCCTGCACACGCCTGTACACGGTGGCTCTGGATGTTTCTACTCCAGACTCAGTCCACTGCTTCCGCAGGTCCCCCAAGGTCTGGAATCTGTCCTTCTCCACAATCTTCCTCAGGGTCTGGTCACCTCTTCTCGTTGTGCAGCGTTTTCTGCCACACTTTTTCCTTCCCACAGATTTCCCACTGAGGTGCCTTGATACAGCACTCTGGGAACAGCCTATTCATTCAGAAATGTCTTTCTGCGTATATTTAATTTTTTCAAGTTAAAAAAAAAAACATGACATCTTTAAGCCACTGGGAAACAGTAGGACACTTAGCAGACTTCCAATGTAACAATATCAAACGTCTCGCTAATAGGGATGTGAAGGCAATGATATCCTTTTGAGTGGAGTCCAGTATAAGTGAGCGGTCAGGAATCCCGAATACCGCAATCAGAGGACAAGGATGAAGAGTTACCCCAAGAACAGTTGACATAATAGCAAAATACCCTGTCCAGAAACGTTGTAGCTCAGGACACCAAAAAAAAACATGTGGCTAAGGTGACAAGGAGAACCCTGGCATTTATCACATTTATTTTCCACTTCCGGATACAGTTCAGAAAGTCTAGACTTAGAGAAATGCACCCTATGAATGACCTTAAATTGGATAAGTCCAAGACGAGCGCAGGAGGTGGAAGATCGTACCCTTGCTATAGCCTGTTCCCAAGACTCCTCATGTATTCCAATTCCTAGTTCTCCTTCCCATATATCCCTAAGCTTAACCTTAGAGTGGTTACTAAGAGACAGAATAGCATCATAAAGTTTCGAAATGGTTCCTCTGTGATGAGGAATAAAATATAACATAGTTTCCCACCGCTGTTCTGGAGGTAAAAAGGGGAAATTCGGGAAACACTTGGCAACAAAATTTCGAATTTGAAAATAGCGAAACAAATGGGTAATAGGGAGATTATAACGAGAAGACAAATTGGGAAAACTATCGAACACACCATCCACATATAAATGTTTAAACTGTCCTATACCCTTGTCACACCACACTGAGAATGTCGTGTCCAAAAGTGAAGGGGGAAACAAATGATTGTTGGTTAGAGGACCCGAAGAGGATGGCATTACAAAATTATTGTGTCGTCTAAACTGAAACCAGATTTTGAGTGTGTTAAGAACCACCGGATTATCAGTATACAAAGAGGGTTTTACGGGTAAAGAGGAATAGAGCAAAGCTGGTAAAGAGGAGCCCTTACATGATAATAGCTCCAATTTACACCACGAGGAACCAGAAGATTTTAGCCAATAGCAGTTTTTGAATGTGAGCGGCCCAGTAATAAGCTAGAAAATTAGGTAATGCAAGTCCTCCACTAAATCTGCATTGCTGCAGCAACGTTTTAGAAACCCTAGGCGGCTTCCCTCCCCAAATAAAAGAACCAATAATCTTGTCCAGTGAAACAAAGAAATGTTTCGGCAAAAATAAGGGAATTGAGTGAAATAAAAATAAAAAATTTGGTAGGATATTCATTTTAACGACATTAATCTTACCGATTAAAGAAAGCGGGAGATTACCCCATCTTTGAATATCAGATGTGATCCTAGATAAAAGAGGAGACAAATTTGCTGATTTAAGGCCAGATAGAGAGCGAGTCACGTTAACCCCTAAGTACTTAAACCCAGAGGGACTAAGACGAAAGGGTAGATCGGACTGTTGGAGTTGACGTGCTGCCGTATTAACAGGAAAACACTCACTTTTCCCTAAATTTAATTTATAACCTGAAAACGAGCTGAAGTTCTCCAGAATACTTAAAACAGCAGGAATGGAGCGAGCAGGGTCAGTCATATATAATAACAAGTCATCCGCATACAATGATACTTTATGTGTAATTCCATTACGGGGGATTCCCTTGAATACAGAAGAAGATCTTAATGTAATAGACAGCGGCTCGATGGCAATGGCAAAGAGTAAAGGTGACAAAGGGCAACCTTGACGACAACCACGACCCAGCGCAAAATAATCAGAATAAACATCATTAGTATGAACACTGGCTTTAGGGGATGAATAAAGAAGCTGAATCCAAGAAGTGAATTTATCACCAAAACCAAATTTCTTCAAAACTGCAAACAAGTATTCCCACTCCACCCTATCGAAAGCCTTTTCAGCATCTAAAGAAATCACAAGTTCAGGAAGTTGAGATAGATGCTTTGAGTAAATAACGTTAAAGAGTGTACGGGTATTAAAAAATAATTGCCGTCCCTTTATAAAGCCATTCTGCTCGTCGGAGATAATTTGAGGAAGCACATCCTCAAGGCGAGACGCAATTACTTTAGCCAATACCTTTGCATCGGCATTAAGCAGAGATAATGGCCTGTAAGAATCACAGGAAGTTGGGTCCTTGTCATTTTTGAGAAGGAGCGCTATGGTGGCCTGCGTGAAAGTAGGAGGTAATGAACCTGATTCCAAGGACTCGTTAAACACAGACAAAAGCAAAGGTGCCAGTTTACCAATAAATGTTTTATAAAATTCAATAGGAAACCCATCCGGGCCTGGGGCTTTATTAGACTGCATAGCTGTAATAGCTTTTAATACTTCATCAGCAGATAGTGGGGAGTCCAGTTGCCCGGCCTTATGAGTACCGATAACCGGGTTTGAAAGAGACTGAAGAAATTCATTCATTTTAGCTTTATCCGTGGGAAATTCTGACTTGTACAACAAAGAGTAAAATGCTTTAAAGGTAGAATTAATTTCCAAAGGATCTGTAGTAATATTGTCGTAAGAGTTTTTAATACCAGGTATCACACGTGAAGAGGCCTGACGTCGTAACTGATGCGCCAACAAGCGATTAGCCTTGTCACCGTATTCATAATATGAGCCACGACTGCGTAGTAATAAGTGCTCAGCCTCTTTGGTTGACATAAGATCAAATTCGGCTTGCAAATCAAGGCGCTGCTTGAGTAATTCTGGAGAAGGATTCAGTGCATAAATTTGATCAAAGTTACTAATTGCCACCGTAAGTTCTTTAAGCCTGGCATTAATCTTTTTATTAGTACGTACAGAATAAGAAATAATTTGACCTCTCAAATAGCATTTAAGAGTCTCCCACAGCTGAGAATATGAAACAGAATCATCCCGATTAAACAACAAGAACTCGTCAATAGAACGAGAATCGAAGGCATGTTGAAGACAATTAAAGACAATGCCTGGACCCGCTCCTTGAGGGTCTGCCCACACTTCATTTAACAACATTTTCTAACATAACAGTGTGCCAGAAGCTTCTATTGTATCCTTCTGATGACACAACATCCTGCATGTCAGTAAACAGCTTTCATTGTTTTATTACAGCTCAACATGAATGTTTTTAACCCGTTTCTTGTGTTTTCTGTAAATCTGAACTGGTGAACTTTTTAAAGAGTTAATAGGTTATTTTTATTAGCCTTTACAGTCATATTTAACACTGCTGGGCCAAGAGCAACACATCTCGACATTTGAAAAACATATGATGCGGTTTTTGCAGAAAGGGAACAGTGGATCAGGTCCTCCATCAAAGTGACTGGAACGAGACTCGCTAAGTGCTGTTTTTTTAACTTCCTGTTCATAGAAGATGTTTGAACAAAGTCCTCACTGTGTCCTGTTTCAGAATCCCATTTTCCAGTACAAATATACCAGCAGCATTTCCACATGAGCAACCGCATCAGACACAAGCTGTTTATGTACCAGTGGAATGGAAAATACATTCACATGAGGCCATACTACAGGTAGACACACAGGTGAGTCCCACTTTGGGAGCTTTTTTGGCAGATTTTGGTGACTCGTTTCAGCAGACCAATCCCTTCCTTGCATGAATCTCACAGCTTGGTCATTTCTTTACTGCTTGTTCTGGTTGTTTCTATGCTTTAACACACCTGATTCAATGGTTGAATCATCTGCTCAGCAGGCTTTCAAGCTCTGCAGAAGTGTGTTAATTACCCACTTATTAAAATAAAGTGTTTTATGGCAGAAAAACCTTTAAAGGTACAATATGTAAGAATACTACAGCAAAATAATCACATAACAGTCTAGTGTCTCAATCGTGTTGGAAGGAAGGTTGCATTGAAATAGATTTTGTTCTTAGCTGGCTGGGGTTTTTTCAGGTTTTCTCCTTTCAAAAAACAAAAATGAGGGATATAGTTACTGTTTATTATCAGTGATTTTGTGAAGTTTCCATGTCTCTGATGAGCTAACGCTGCTGCACCAGAATTTGTAATTTGACACCAGCAGGCAAAAAGCTCCAGAGTTGTTTAAAGAACCGAAGCCAGTAAACCGGATCGACCCAGAAGGTATTTCTTGCACCAAGAAGTCACAGCATCATTTTTTTTACTCTAATATCGAGTGAAGCAGGTGAGAGGAGCTAATGTTGAGCTAACATTACCATAGAAGCAACTAGTCAGCTCTAAAAATATCTCAAGCTACTTTTTCAATTACCAACAACTCAATATTACAGTGAAATGTATGTGTGAAGTGATTAATGAGTCAATCGTGGTGTTTTATTTAGCTTAATGAGTCGTTCAGAACGATAACAGCAAACTAACAGCAAGACAGCAAACAACTCTTCCTCCAATGCCAGAGAAATATTACCGTAATAAGTGTAGTGAGTGCTCTCTACTGTAAAACACCCAAAAGAGCCAACACCAGAAATGACAATGTATTTATTTACCTATCAACTTTCTGTGTATGACTTGCCTTTGCTTGTCATCTAGAATCTTCTGGTAATGATCCGTAACTGACAACAGCTCTAAAACTCACTTATCGCAGGAACCAAATTTGACCACAAGATGTCACTCTTGTTTCATTCTTACATATTGCAACTTTAAAATCTGCAGGATTGTATCTCCCCAGCACAAGGATGGGAGACCACTTCCTTACTGAAATGTATTTGTTTCTTTATGTAAAATTCTTTGTTTGCTAAAATTAAATGCATTTACTGGAGCAGTTTACTAATGTGAAAACTAAAATAACTGGCAGCCACACATCAATTGTCTCTATTTCATAAGCAAAACTGTAATTTGCAGGATGAACCTGTGACTCATGCTTCCAGATAAATGTTACAAAGTGAAAAAGCAAGCTTAGTCTGCAATTTTTAAAACTGCACTATGAATAATGTTCGGAATGACCCATTATAATGGGTGCCTTTTAAAGGAACCGTTGATTAATAATGAACTTTTCTCAGAAAAAAGTTAAAAATGATTCAACATCAGTAGCAAATGTCTCTTAATCAGCAATCTTTTTTCCAGTCTGTAAGAATCCCCACTGTGCTGTTTTCCAAAATGGTCCTTTAGAATGGAACTGGTCCGGATGGAGATGTGGAGAGGATTTTACATTCAAGTCCCATATCAGAGGACCTCACATGGACTCACAACACCAACTGTCTGATAAAGAAGGCACAGCAACGGCTACACTTCCGGAGAGTTCTCAGGAGATCAACCTGCCAAACATGTTGGTGTTGTTTTATCACTGTGTCACAGAGAACGTCCTGACCAACAGCCTCTGGTGGCCTTGCAGAGAAACACACACCTGCCTGTCCCGGATAACGTCTTCACCTCACGACGCCTTCGGAAAACAACAAAGATCCTAAATGATTTATCCCAACCTGCCCACTATCTCTTTGAGTTTCTTCCATCTGGTAGACAATACAGGGATTTAAAAACACCCAGCATCAGACTGTTGGGCAGCCTTTATGCAAAAGTCAGCACTTCATCAGGTGTGACTTTTGCTGATTTAAAGTCTGTTTAGATTCCAGAATCACCTTCAACTCCATATTTGGAACTAAGAGACTAAAAACAGTGTTTCAGTTTCCCTTTTACACAAAATAAAGTTTAAGAGGTTTTCATCTTCACACATTTATGCTTTTATATTATATCGGCATCGATATCGGCATATGTTATTAATTTTTTTACATATTGATATCTGGGCCGATATTAACAAGCAACATTTTTTCCATCTTGTTTCCATTTGTTATTATTTATATTTTATCTGTTTCAGAGGGTGGATGGTGGTGGTGTGTGTTTAGTCATGTGACAGTGATGGTAATCATCTCAGAATTGTAAATGTGTGGTGTGTGTTCATAATATTAATTCAGCTTTAATAATTTTCATTCTATACAAAATCTGCTGCTTTTAGAAGCATTAATAGTATATCGGTATCGGCCATAAGAGTGATATTAATATCGGATGTCGTATCGGCCCAAAAATGTTATATCGGTGCATCCCTAATTATTTACATAAATAAGTGTTTAAATCCAGTATCCCACTAGGCTGTGAATGTTGGAGACAAGCAACTGTGAGAAAATTGGCATTTTTAAAATCTAAAATCAGACTGAATCAGTAATAAAATACTTCTGAGTAAACCGCAAATATTAAGCACCTTTCCTGTCACAATGTCATCACATGTCTGTTATTCCATCAGTGAGAATGAGACTGGCCAGTCTCACACATCATCAAACACTGAAACGTTGAAGGAGTGCCCTGTCCACTGAGTGGGAGGAGCCTAGAGTAGGGTATTACATATGATGTACGGAAGTTAGTTTTGAATGATCATCACTATAAATGGTTTTTGAAGGGTCCAGGCCTGTTCTCTGCATCTTTTCTCTGCTTTTCACCATAAAAATCAAGTTAACTGAAGCTACTGAGTCATAGTCATTACTGAAGCTTATCTGTGATCTTGTTTAAGTGTGTCCTGGTCAATTCTCCCCAGTGATTAAAAGAACTGGGGTGAGGGTGCAGCTCGCTAAAGGAGATTCAATCAGGAGGAGCATTCTCGGACCCAGCAGAATCAAAATCCTAACAGACGGTGCTGAGAAAATAGGTTGCACCAATTTTCTGTCTAAAAATCCTGCAAGACTCTATGACTCAGAAGAAGAAACTGAGTGAAAGGTGCCATCATATTTGTAAACGGATGCTTGCAAACTATTTATTTTAATGTTTGCAATTGAATCTCAATCTACAGTAACTTTTGTTTTGTTTGTTTACCATTCTTCTTATGAGCAGTTTATGTTGGTACTTTAAAACACTGCCTGTGTGTGAGGTGTTGATTTTAGTTCTATAACTCCTTACTAACTGATTTTTATGCAAAAGCAAAGACATATATGTTATAGTCCTGTACAACAATAATTAAAAGAAACTTGAATTAACATGTTCAGCTGCAATATTACAGTTTCAAGTGTTAATTTATTGTCCTTTGTCAGAGTGGTACAAAAGTAGGATCTGATCATTCAGAAACCAAAGTTTTACTATTACAGATGCTGAAAAAGCTCGTGTTTATTTACTTGGCAAAAAAAAATTGATAAAGGCCGTGTCAGTTTAGCTTATATTCAAAGATCTGTTGCTTGGGGTTAAGTGTGTGGCTTTCGTATACAGCACACCGGTTCAGCGTCAACAAACTCATGCTTTAAAAATGAAAAATACATAAAAAATAAACAACTGAAAACAATGGTTCTCCTAAGTCCCTGATCTACAGGCATCAGGACACAGATAATAGGTACACTAAAATACAATCATTTAATTAAAAATAAGTTTACATAGAGCCATAGATTATTTATAACCATGGCAGTTTAGCAACAACGCATTTCACCCAACGCTAGTTTATCAATACTGAAATCCTGGATGAACAGAACAAAAAAATGACCTTCTCAAAATGTAATGAATCCATTTGAGTTCATCTCTATTGTAGAAAGATTGTCGAGTCACTTCAGTAGTTGTGTCCAAGAAAACCAGACGAGACAGTCTGCTTTAAAGAATTCAAACAAGTGATTTCTGTCTAAAAAACAAACAGAAAACGTTGTCACACACATAAAGGCACACATCACACACAAACGAGATGCAGTTTTGCACCAAGAAAAGTAAAAACAAAAGTGAACAAAAAAAAGCTCAAATAACACTATTGCATTTGAATAAAAACAAGCTGCTGCTGGCATGACAAAGTCAAATACAAGTACTCGTGTTTTCTTGAAACCGAGCGACAAGTGACGAAAACTTCCCCCTTTTCTCTTGGTTTTTGTAAATATCTGACTTGACGTTTGAATCAGATCTTCACTTGAATGCTGACGTGAGAGGAAAGGGAGTGGGCTGGGAGTGAAACGTGTGAGTCAGTCAGAGGCGACAGTGACAGACAATGTGTCCGACTCATAACTCTGAAGGTCATGGAGGAGAAGGAATTAAATGGAAAAATACAGAGGCATGTCCTCTAAAATGGGAGGGAACAAACTAGACCAGATTACACAAAAAACCAAGTACATATATCAATATGTAGTCAGAAATGTTAGCAAATTTGAATAAAAGTCATAACAATTCAGTTTTCAACCTAAAACAGTTTTTCTTTTTGTAGCTCTTTGCAGTATGTTATGCTCCCAGCACTTTTATTCCTCAATTAATTCTGTGACATGTATCCTAATCTGACTCAGTGTTGCAGAAAGGCAGGTTGCTAACAACTGCACTGCACCACAACGATCCACATTACGATATCAGATTTACTTTGGAGAGACATAAAAGACCTGATCCAGCCTGGCCCTGCACCAACTGTCCATTACACCACAAAGATGAACTCATCTCTGTAGAAGGGATCGTGCTGCAACCTCAATTCTATAAACGCACACCGTTCGACATCCCACAGGCGTACGGTAACCACCCGTTACATCATTAGAAAAACACATTTCACTTGGCACCAAACCAACGTGTCAGATTTGACACTTTCAGGAGGAATGCAACCATTTCTCCTTCGTCATCGATTTTGGCTCTGACCTTTGTCCCAGATCTTTAAAACTGTTTGCTAGTTGACACATTCAACACTGAAGCTTCACTTTCTGCACTTTAAAGTGCCGTGCAAAAGCACAATGGCCTCAGGGAGCGAATGTCTGCCTGGATCTTTGCAATGAAACCACTGTTTAAGGCGTTTTAAAGAACAGAATGTGAAACTGAGACTCATTCAAAGGACACTTTTACTAAGAACTGTTTTATTATCTGATCCATTTGCTACATGAGTGAAGCGGTGATTGTGTGAGCAGCACGTCATTCTAAATGGAAGAACGTCCACATTACTGCCATTAAAGGCACATAGAAGGAGTTTGGTTCTGAGCTCAACAAAAATAAGAATATTGAGGACTTGGTGGCAGTGCTTTCAGGTCCTCTAATTATCAACAACTTCTGGGTTGTTGTTTTAGAAAATCATTCGGAATTATCAACAGTCAAAGGTTTCCGTTTTTGGACTAGTTTACTTATTAACTTTATTTGCTTTTTCTTCTAAAATAAGTGTCTAAAACAAATTTAAATGATACAATTTGCCTCATGTAGGAAGGTTATTCCTGCAGCAAACTCCTTCAGGTCAAAGGTCAAATAAAATTCCGTAACTACTTCACTAAAAACGGCACCACTAGGTGTCACTGTTACTCTCAGTACCCTTTTTAAGAATCAAAGAAAACAGCTGGGAAAAATAAAACCAGGTCATGCACACTAAACAAGAACGCCAACTATGTCAGCGATATACATTTTACAGCACGCAAAAATAAAAGCCCGAATGATGTTTGTGATCGTTAAGAGGGTGTAGCTTGTAAAAGCTAAGGCCAGATTAGCAGTAAGAGACGTCTGGCAGGAGGAGATGTAGCAGATTTACTCCAAATGATCCTATTAAATCCCAGGTCTTAACAGGAAAAGTGTTTCAAGCAGCAAAGCATGCTGCAACAATTTGGAGCAGGGATGGCGAGTTTACCATGCTGCGGCCTCTTACTTGACAAAGAACTGCTTCCCTTGTGGAGGCTGGTCAAAACCAGTTCCCTCCACTCTGCAGTTTCCTGCTTGTCCTCATGAATGAATAAACACATTAGGGACAAATGTCCACTTTTCTTGGAACAGGTTGTGATATATGCTGTTAGAGAAAACAGTACTGGAGTCTTTTTTTTTCTTGCCTTACATGTATGATTTAAACATGTATGGAATAAGATGTGTGCCAAAAGGATCAATAAAAAATACAGTCTCATACCAAATATACCCAAATACATCAACTCCCAAAAAATTTCAGAAGCGAAACTGTTTATTTCAAAAGCAAAAAATAAAATCACTCTAAAACTTAAAATGAAATTATATGTAAATATTTAAACTTCAATACATGTTTTTTCTTAACTGCTACTTTTTAATTCTTTTGCACACGTTTTGGTTCTCACTTACTTTTGTATTACTCAGTCTATTTAGACTTTTATGTAGTTCAGCCACGATTAGTCGATTCGTCACGATGACGTTCGACAAACAAAATAGTTGACTATAAATTCAGTAGTTGATGTAAATTATTCTATGAGCATTTTTAAAATGTTGCCTGCTGTGGCACCTTCAGCTGCTGCTTTCTGTCTTTCAGCTTGATGCACATGCGCAGTAGCTCAAATATTTTGGAGAATTTCACAAAAACAAGATAAGCTTGGAGAGTGCAAAATCTGCAAAGTGAAACTCTCCTTTCACGGGAGCACATCGGCGATGCACGAGCATCTTAAAAGGAAGCACGTCTTGGCGGAGAACGAGAAGTCGCCTCTGTAATCTAATTACCTCTTGTTAGCTGCTAACATCAACAGAGTTATTCGTATTCATAGGCGTGATTTTGTACATTTTTTTTAGGCGCCTACCTCGATTTGACTCGATTTAACAAGTTACAATGTTAATTAAAAGTTGTTTAATAAGCTACCATCTTGTCTTTATTATTATATGGCACATAGCTGATCACACTAGAAGCTAATGGTGGGTATATTGGAGCATCCTAGCGCAATAAGCTATACTTATGAATGACAAGATTAGTCAACTTAATTGTCAACAACTGTCATTTGTGGCAGCCCTTCTTTTATTCAGAACGGCCTGATTTGGTTCATCTTTGCTATAGAGCACCTTGACTTTGCTTCTGCCCTAGGTTTTTGCTTTTGAAATTCACTGAAATGTTCTTCGTGATTGCTTTATTCGAGTATTTTGTGTAAGATTGTCTTTTTTTGACTGATCCTTGAAAACAGATCTTACAAACATGCCACAAATAATGTTTAAACAAAAATTACCTTAATGTAATGATCAAAGTGTAGATCACCGACCTGTTAAATGCTTGGCTTGTGCAAGCTTGCCTATATTTAAAACCAAAACAATATACTGACATTCTCATAACGTTAGTATTTTTGTGGATTTGATACAGGGAAAGCTCATTTTATCTCAGTGTGTGGTTCAAGCAAAATTAATAAGCTCTGAGAGGAAAAAAAAGGTCACTTAATACACTTGGCCACAACACAAGCATTGGCTTAAGAAATACCTTATTCACAGTGTCTCTAAAGTCCAAATATGCATTCAGCTTGTGTTTCTATCCCAAAGTACAACAGCCCATTAAGACGTGTTTATACTGTGAAAGCTTCAGCCATGTAAAATAGAAGCTTGTTTCACATGCTTAAGTAAACATGATGTTAGGTGATGCAGAAACTCTGCTCCACGTGCAGGTAACAGTTGGCCACACATGATGGAGTTAGAATGAGCATGGTGTTTATTGACTTAAGAGTTTGTGCCCGTGACTTCTGACAGCAGTTCTGTAAAGTTCTCCAGCATTAAGGATTGAACTGTGGGGTGTTTTTCTAGTCATCACCAGAGACTTTTGGGTGCATGATAAAATATGCCTCTGAGCAGAGTAAAGGGAACCTGAAGAAAAGAGCACATGCCTCAACAGATCGGCTACGAGGAGAAGCATGTTTTACTTAATACTGCGCTGAAAGTGTCAAAACTTCTCCTAAAGTCTGAAGGCCAGAGGAGAGGCAGGTGCTGCTCTGAAAATGTTCAGTTCGTCCAGCTGAGTCCTGCAAAGATGTCTCCTTCTGTGGCATGCATATTCATATACTACCAGCATTTTTTGCAGTTTCTAAACTAAATCCGACTTCAGGGGTGGGTTATGAGCCATATCCTTAGGAGCACAAAAGAAATCATATGCAATGTGGAGATCTGTGATGTCCTTACATTTGCTGGTCCTGCCAGTTCACCAAACAAATACCAAATGGTCACTTTTTCTTTGCCTGCATGGTCAGCAGTGCTCCTTCTTTTGTCTAGCTATGAACAAACCTCCAGGATTATGTTTCCTCTCTGCAGGAGTTTGGATCAAGCTTGCTCTTTATCGGCCCTCCAGAGCTGCTCTTTGACTTCTGTTGGCAGCGTGTTGAACAGGTCCTCCTCCACCACCAGGCCGCTCCTCTTCAACAGCCTGCACTCGCCGAGCTCCACTGGGAGGCACTCTAGCCGGTTGCCCCTCAGCTCCAGCTGGGTCAGCCCAGTGAGCTCGCCGAAGCGCGACGGCAGCGTCTGTAAGCAGTTGTTCCCCAGATTCAGAGTGCGAAGCTTCTTACACTGGAACAGTTCAGGGGGCAATGTTTCGATCTGAAACGGAGAAGGTAAAAGGGCAGAAAAGTGAGCGAGAGCTATTGAAGAGAATTCTAAACCAATATGAATCTGTGTGCCTATAACGGAAAACGTTTCTTTAAAAAGCCACTGGGTCCCATGTCATTTATATGCTTGTTAATAGAACTTGATTCCATAAGAATGTTGATTCTATGTGTCGGCCCCTGAAGAGAAAATCCAAACAAGAAAGAAGAACTTGATCCTAAAAATACACAAACTGAGTCTCCGACATGTCAACAGAAATGACGTTTGACTACATTTTAACATGGACTCAGTGTTGCAGCTCATTTGAACTGATTTGGGAGCTGAACGTGTAAGAGACCTGAACAGGCATTAAAAGCACAAAAAACATCAGAGCAGTCTTGAGCTACTCGCAGCAGCTCACTAATCTGCTGGAGGCTATTTACAGCGAGCAGCCACACAAGTAAACGCAGTAAAACAGCAGTAATGGTGGCCTTCACTAAAAACACATGATCATGCTGTTTGAATGCTCGTGAGCTGAAAAGAAAGTTTATTCAAATGACCTCTCAAAGGGAATAAATCCCACAGTTTTTATGATGGGCATGATCATTTTGAAAGCCATGTTGTTTTGCAAACATTTGTTCTTTTCAAAACCGGATGGTATTTGTGTAGCAAAGTCAAAATGTGGCTACAAATGTATCGTGAAGCTTATTTATTGGCCTGAAATGGCACAAAAGAACAAAAGGTGGGGTTTTCTGACCAAAGTGCTTTCATCTAATAAGACAAGGTCTACTTTTACAATAATAAATTTGGTTATTGGGTAAATCCTTTAAAAACACACGCACAACTGTTAAAAACATGACTTAAAGTCATCATCACATACAGGTGCTGGCCAGTAAATTAGAATATCATCAAAAGGTTGAAAATATTTCAGTAATTCCATTCAAAACGTGAAACTTGTACATTATATTCATGCAATGCACACAGACCAATGTATTTCCAATGTTCATTACATTTAAATTTGATATTCATAAGTGACAACTAATGAAAACTCCAAATTTGGTATCTCAAAAAATTAGAATATTCTGAAAAGGCTGAATATAGAAGACACCTGCTGCCACTCTAATCAGCTGATTTACTCAAAACACCTGCAAAGGCCTTTAAAAGGTCCCTCAGTCTTGTTTTGAAGGCACCACAATCATGGGGAAGACTTCTGACTTAACAGCTGTCCAAAAGACAATCATTGACACCTTGCACAAGGAGGGCAAGACACAAAAGGTGATTGCTAAAGAAGCTGGCTGTTCGCAGAGCTCTGTGTCCAAGCACATTAACAGACAGGCGAAGGGACGGAAAAAATGTGGTAGAAAAAAGTGTACAAGCTCTAGGGATAACCGCACCCTGCAGAGAATTGTGACGACAAACCCATTCAAAAATGTGGGGGAGATCCACAAAGAGTGGACTGCAGCTGGAGTCAGCGCTTCAAGAACCACCACGAGGAGACTCATGAAAGACATGGGATTCAGGTGTCGCATTCCGTGTGTCAAGCCACTCTTGAACAAGAAACAGCGCAAGAAGCGTCTCGCCTGGGCCAAGGACAAAAAGGACTGGACTGATGCTGAGTGGTCCAAAGTTATGTTTTCTGATGAAAGCAAGTTCTGCATTTCCTTTGGAAATCAAGGACCCAGAGTCTGGAGGAAGAGCGGAGAAGCACAGAATCCACGTTGCATGAGGTCCAGTGTAAAGTTTCCACCGTCAGTGATGGTGTGGGGTGCCATGTCATCTGCCGGTGTTGGCCCACTCTGTTTCCTGAGGTCCAGGGTCAATGCAGCCGTCTACCAGGAAGTTTTAGAGCACTTCATGCTTCCTGCTGCTGACCAACTTTATGGGGATGCAGACTTCACCTTTCAACAGGACTTGGCACCTGCACACAGTGCCAAAACCACCAGCACCTGGTTCAAGGACCATGGTATCCCTGTCCTTGATTGGCCAGCAAACTCGCCTGACCTTAACCCCATAGAAAATCTATGGGGTATTGTGAAGCGGAGGATGCAATACGCTAGACCCAACAATGCAGAGGAGCTGAAGACGACTATCAGAGCAACCTGGGCTCTCATAACACCTGAGCAGTGCCACAGACTGATCGAGTCCATGCCACGCCGCATTACTGCAGTTATTGAGGCAAAAGGAGCCCCGACTAAGTATTGAGTGCTATACATGCACATTCTTTTCATGTTCATTCTTTTCAGTTGGCCAACATTAGAGAAACAAACATTTTTTCATTGGCCTTTAGAATATTCTAATTGTCTGAGATACCAGATTTGATGTTTTCATTGGTTGTCACCTATAAATATCAAAATTAAACGTAATAAACATCGGAAATACATTGGTCTGTGTGCATTGCATGAATATAATGTACAAGTTTCACGTTTTGAATGGAATTACTGAAATATTTTCAACCTTTTGATGATATTCTAATTTACTGGCCAGCACCTGTATACTAGAACCGTAAAGGTTGGAGACTAACTATTAATGGAATGACAGTGTGTAATGAAGAAATTGACCAATTGAAGCCTAAAGTATATAATAATATCTACTTTTTAACTCATTCACTGCCATTGACGACTAAAGTCGTCATTTTAGATCCAACCGTTCACTGCCAATGACGACTAAAGTCGTCATTTGCATTTTTTTTACTGTTTGAGCATCGGAACGAGCCCCCGCGCTGAGAGAGCAAAGATCTCAGCCCTGAAGCCAATCTTCATCCGCATACGTCACACATCACATGATCAGGAAGCAAAACATCCATGTGTTAGGAGATCGTTTTGGGCCGTTCCTGTAAAAAAAAAAGTGAGGCGCGAACCGGAAAAGTGTCTGCCGATCACAATTTGACAACGGATTATGAAAGAACGGATAACGCTCGAAACACGCGGACTCTTCCTGATGTAAGAGGTGAGTCTCCTCTTTGTTTTGGTTGTTTTGGCGTCGACATCATTCTAGCGCGCAACGTTCTGTGACTCTTAAAAAAACAGTAAAAACGGTGAGAAACGCTGGCAGCGAAGGCCGTTAGTGATCAGGAAATGGCTGGCAGTGAATGAGTTAAAATTTTAATATTTATTAGCTAACGTTAATATAACATATATTTGGTAATTCACAATCAAACTGTAATAAGGAAATAAAATTGGCTCTTGCCAGCTGCATGTCTGCCATAGGACCTGATTTGGCAGGTTTCTGATGAAGGTATTGATTCTCCAGTTTGATGCCAAACAACAAAGTTACAGTTTTTCCCTCTTACCCTGTTTGCTGTCACAGCAAAGTACTGAAGGTTCTGGAGGAAGCCCACATCAGGGTGGATGCTAGTCAGATTGTTGTGACTCAGGTCCAAGAAGCGTAACTTGCGGCAGAAGAAGAGCTGGCTGGGTATCTTCTCGATCTTGTTTCTGTTGAGGTAAAGCCTCTCCATGTTGGTCAGCGTTCCGATCTGAATCGGGATGTAAGCGATCTGGTTGTACCAGAGCTTCAGGCACACGAGGCGGTGCAGGTGCTGAAAACTGATGATCTCCTCTATCGTCTTCAGGTTGTTATCCTTCAGGTCGATCTCCTGCAGGTTGTGCAAACTGAAGATGGAGTGCGGGATGCGTTCAAGGTCGCAGCGAACAAGCTCGAGTTCTGTCAGGTTAACCATTTTCTTGAGGCTGTTTAGCACCATCAGCTTGGTGCCCTCGTTGTTGATGGAAAGCTTCTGAAGGTGCACACCCACGTCGGTGACCACCTGCGGAAGTTTGGTCAGGTTGCTTTTCAGACGCAGCACTTTGAGACTTTTGAGCTCTCTGAGACCATCAATGACAATAAAACGATTGTTCTCAGCACTCAGGTTCCCAGTTAGGTGCAGCTCACTGAGGTTCTTCAAGCTGTAGATCCACAGTGGGATCTCCTTGATATCAGTGAACTTGATGTGGAGCGACTTAAGGTTTTCTCTCAGGAATGCCAGAGCTGGAGCCTCGATTTTAGCGGGAGTGTGGTAGAGCCACATCTCCTTTAGGCTGGAAAGCTGAGCAATGATGGGAGGAATAGTCACATCTGGGATGAGCTCCAGCTTGAGCACCTCTAGCTCCACCAGATCGAACACTGTGTCTGGGATCCCACTGAGCATGAAGAGGTGAAGTTCCAGTTTCTCTTGGGAGTTCTTAGTGATACGCTGCCTTAGCTTCTCCAGTGTCCACTCATTGTTTAAGTTCAGTTGCCTCAGTTTGTTCTCGCTGACCTCTGACAGAAACACAGCAAAGCGCTTTGAGTACAGAGGATCATACTGATCTATCATGTGAAGCATGAAGGCAAAGTCATTCTTCACGTCAGGGATGTCGCTATAGCTGCTTTCCTCACGGATTGACTCGAAGGAGTATCGTTTCAGGGAGCGTCTGAGCATCCAACAAAGGGTGTACATGCAGATGAGACCATAGACCACGACTAAGCTGATGTAAAAACAGGCCAAAATCTTAAAAAGAGTTGCTAATGGATGAGCACAATAAAACATGCTATACCCCGTTAGTTTCTCAATGTTCACCGGACACACTACACTGAACCTGATGTACCTGACGTAATAGGCAGTGTAGCTAATTATCAGTATAAACTTTATGACTTTAATGATAGTCTGGCGTATGTAAAGGCGGTAGACTATATCTCCTTCCTCAACGTGGATCCTGAACTTCTTGACCTTCTCAAAGAGCGCTTTGGCCTGCTCTCCTTCCTTTTTATCTAAAACACCAGTTTCTGAGCGATCCACAATGCCCTGCTCGATCCTGGACTTTGTTCGCTGGAGCATGGGCACACTGGCCTCAACGTCCTCGCTCACACTCGAGGTCTTCTTGTCCATGGAGCCATTCGTCTTCCCCACCGGTTTAGGGTCGCTCTCCTCCACCACGGTCTCAGACAAAGCTCTTGTTGTCCACGGGGAGTCGAAGCACTTGAGGAGGATGGAGACAAAGTGCTCTAGTTTAGAGCTTGTGCGGGGGAACTTGAACCAGAAGTTGCTACAGGCCAGGAAGATGAGGGTGTGGAGCAGCACCAGATAAGGAAAATATTTGGCAAACCAGTGGAGTTTGTTCTCGTAGCAGACGGCGTCTACAAAGTTATACTGATGTCGGTCCAGGTCGTTCTGAATGCCCTTGGGTTCTGGTGGATAAAGGAGGGTTATGTTGGAGATGGGCTTGGTCTCGCATGACATGTTGACAACCCACTTGCAGGGCAGGCAAATCATCTTGTCCTGCGTGACTTGCAGCGTCCCACCGAACACTGCGATCATCAGCATGATGATCGAGAGGTAGTCTGTGAAAACGTCCCACCATGGCTTCAGGATTCGGTATGCTGGCTGGGTGTCGGCAAAGTACCGGAGCTCAGTGATTGGAATCATGATGGTTTATCTAAAAGTGGAGAAACAAAAAGGAAATTAGCATGTGACATGACAAGACAAAGTGTGGTTTAGGGCAGGGCTATTCAATTCTGGGCCTCAAGGGCCGGTGTCCAGCACGCTTTAGTGGTCTCTCTGGTCCAACACGCTAGATTCAGAGGTTGAATCCCCTGTGCAGCAGCTGATCAGGTCTGCAGAAGCCCGTTAATCACCTGCTGATTGAAATCAGGTGTGTTGAAGCAGGGTTAAAACCAAAACGTGCTGGATACCGACCCTCGAGGCCCGGAATCGAATAGTCCTGGTTTAGGGTAACTCCCAGCTGTGAAATACATACATCAATTCTGACTGAGACATTGTAAAAAGTCACAGCTGTTGTGTCTCCATTAAAGCTCAATGGGGCAATGGTGGAAGAGGGGTTAAGTGCCAGTCTCACAACCGAAGGGTTGCAGGATCGGGTCCCGCCAGACTGCTGTTAGTGGTTGGAAGGACCGGTGGCACCAGTGTTCAGCAGCCATGCTTTTGTTAGTGTGCCTCAGGGCAGCTGAGGCTACGGTGTAGCTCATAACCACCAGAGTGTGAATGACGTACTGTCAAGCCCCCTGAAGGGTTATAGAACCGTAGAAGGCGCTACACAAATTCAAGTCATTTACCAGTCAAATAAAATACCAGTATGACTGAACATCCTATTTATTTTCATTAGTTGTTTTAGTAAAAATACTCCACAAGATTTTTTGTACTTGGTACAAAACTGAATTTTTAAAGTGTCAATTGCTAAATCTAAATTTGACACCTGCATTTTACCATCTCTAAATCGCAAACTACACTTTTAAAGCGGGTTATTCAAATGAATGACATGTAAGCAATTATAAAATTCTTCACTCATGTACATCCTTGTTTTTTCCCCATTATCAACATTGTGAAAAACAAAAAACCTTTTAAATCCATTCTACAATGACTACGTTTACATGCAGTCAATATCCGGGTTATGATCGGGTTAAGGTCGGGATGTGGGTTTCTGAGTTGATCAGAATAACCCGTTTACAAGCATAAATAGAAAGAGTTACCCCTAACTTGCATAACCCGATATAAATGCGGACGTTGGGGTAGCGTCAGGACGTATGGACTACGTCCAGACGCAATATGCATCATTTCCGGTTCTTCTTGTTCCGGTATCCGTGAAAACAACAACATGTTTCCCAGTTCGGAAGAGATAGCGACCGCGTTTGTTTGCGCTTTAGTTTCCTCGTCACTCCAAAAGTGTGGTGCTGTGCCGCGACTCGCCATGTTGCTCCCAACTTACTCAACATCAACAGTTCATGAGAGAATGCAGCAAACGCAGAAGCAATGGTTTGAGCAGCAAAGGCAGTTGAGACATGCCAGTGATGAGGCACTCATGTCTCAAATGATTTCTGAATCAACCTCACATTTAAAAAGCAAAACCAAAATGTTATTTTGTTATGTGCTTTATTAAAGAACAAATGTTTTATTAAACTTACTAGAAAACTTGTATGTGTTGACATTTTATTTGAACATTGCATATACCTGTTCTTTTTCAGAGGTGCACAGCAACAAAGGAGAAGGCAGATAAACATCTTTTAAAACTTAGAAAATAAAGAGTTTTGAAAAGTATCGAGCTTACAGTTTAAAGTTGTTTGTTTCCTATCAGAGCCATTCGTCCTGCACACTCACGCTCTTACTAAGCGCTTACGGAGTGGGACACGTGCAGCAAGGTAATCAGGGCCCGTCTGGTAGCTGAGGCTGCACTGTTATCAGCCCTATTGACCTGTGACACGAAACAGCCTTTCTACTGATGTGGCCTCCTCTGCCCATCTGGGATTAACATGCTCCTTCTCCATCTCACAAAAGTTGTGTAGAGCACAACAGGTTGCTACCACGTATGGTGTGAAAGTAAAATGGAAGTCACTGCGCTTCAACAGAACACAGAAACGAGATTTCAGTCGACCAAATGCTATCTCTATAGTTGTTCTAGCAGAACTCAAATAGACGTTGAAGCTTTCCTCTTGTGGTGTCAGTCTTGGGGACTGCAGATAGCCCTTCATTAGCCAGGGCATCAGTGGGTACGCAGGATCTCCCAGCAGGAAGAAATCCACATCCTGCCCCTCGATCTGCACTGCTCTCTAAAGTGGGACAGATAGAAATATTATTCTTCCTAAATTATGTCATAATGCATCTTAGATATGTGGCAGGTGTGCAACTTGCATTTAAATACCAAAAGTTTTAATGCATTACCCACCTTTGGGAAGTATTGTGCATTGTTGAACAGATTGGACTGGCGGAGTGCATTGGCGTCATGTGCTGAACCAGGCATTTTGCAGCTCACACTCCAAAAACTATGGAAAATGTATCACAGTGAATCAAGATGTAGTGGTGAGCGGTGTGATTAGTGGCAAAAAGTTAGAAAAATTATTTCAGGTCAGTAATGACATAATTATTTGTACATATAAGCTGTTGATGTTTTTTTTGAACAGAGAACCTCTCAATTGATGTTTGTGAGTGGTTCTAATATAGCTTAGTGATGTGTGTCTGTCAACATTATATACAAATCATAATCATGAATAAAAAAGCTGGGAATGGCAAAACACCTACCAGTATTTGTCATCACAGACTCCCTGGAGGACATAGGATGGCCATCCCTTCCTGTTTATGAAGTCTCTGTAGCCATCACTTGGAGGCAAGCAAGGGATGTGGCTCCCATCCACACAACCTATGATAAAAAGTAAAAAAAAAAAAAAAAAAAAAACGAAAAAGTATGCACACAGCAGTGTAGCCTACATAAATAGTATAGTTCACATTTAGCCTACTCTCAGAAAACTACTGACATTAACAAGACATAAGAGCAGGAAATATTTTACCTATGATTTGAGGAATGGAGTGGGCACGTTCAAATCTTTGTGCAATGCCACATGCCTCCTCCAAACTGGGTACCCGGATCAGTGTTTTGATGACTTGAGTCGACCATTCCGTGGCAGAATAGGTACACCATCTTCTTCACGGTGCTCTTGTGCACTCCAAATTGGTTTGCTATCAAACGACACTCTGCACAGCTTGCTAGTTTATACAGCACCATGGCAACGCGCATTCCTGTAGGCACTGGTGTGCGGATGGTTACTACACTGGGCTCCATCACTCTTTCCATCATACCACAAAGTTTAGCAAATGATTGACGTGACATACGGAAATTCTCACGCCAATCCGTGTCCGTGAACTACATCATTACAACCCGCTCCCACCAGTCCTGACTGCGCACCTTCATCCAAAGTGTCCGCGGGGCTCTGGTGGTAACGGGTACCGTCGATATGTTGGATATGTTTAGGGCAGCTCTCTCTATATTTGCAATTTCTTCCTCACGTACTCTCCTTCGAATGAAGGCCAGTACGCACAGTCGTTGTAAGAGCTGCTGGTGGGTCAATACCAGCAATAAAGCGCAAACAAACGCGCTCGCTATCTCTTCCGAACTGGGAAACATGTTGTTGTTTTCACGGATACCGGAACAAGAAGAACTGGAAATGACGCATATTGCGTCTTGACGTCGTCCATACGTCCTGACGCTACCCCAACGTCCGCATTGAAAACGGGTTATGCAAATTCGGGTTAACTCTTGCTTGTAAATGGGTTATTCTGATCAACTCGGAAACCCGAATGCCGACCTTAACCCGATCATAACCCGGATATTGGCTGCATGTAAACGTACTCACTGACTGCAGAGAAAAACTGAGTAGAAACTCATTTAACACTGTACCATTCATTCTCTTGCCCAAAGCAATAGATGATGTTTCCGTAGACATCAGCTAAAAATAGCAAATATTTTTTCATGCAGTAAAATCACAAGATGTCGGATTTCAAACTTTGTGAGAGCAAATCTGTTTATCTGAAGACAATAAACACACAAAATAGGGATGTACGCAGTTAACCGGTTAACCGGCTATAGGGCTTGTGATCGGATTACACATAGCATTCTGGGATGTGCGCGGCCATGTTGGAAGCTTGACGAGTGTAAACAAACCGTGAAACAAAAGGTACTGTCGCAGAGAAGAAGCAGATTTGGGTGAAAGAAAGTGTTAAACAACATTATAAAATCCCAGAAGGATAAGTAATATACAGGGATATGTTAAATAAAGACGTTGGGGACCGGTGTGGGGACAAAATCAGCGTTAAAAATGGTTCTGATCCAAATCCAAGAGCACCAATGACATACTGTTACCGCTGCAGTTCTGCATAACTGATTTTCTTGTTTGTGGTGTGAGCGGATGTAAATGTTCAGATGATAGGTAAACAGTTTATTTGCTGTTTTTTCTAGTAAAACAATCAAAATGGTCATCCCACAGAAGAAGTGTAGCAGGAGAATTTGTGTCGTGTGTCAGCATGCCCGCATTATCTTGCTGGGACGTGTGTGTGTAGCCTGTGTGTGTGTTGCTTGTGCATCACATTGAAGGAAAGAAACGATGTATAAAAAACATACACCATCTGTAATTTACCAGAATGAAAATACTCCAGAAGGTGATGTTTGGTCACCTTAGAGCTGCGATCCAAGCGAGCCGACGAGACTTTGTTATGCTAGATACTTGGTCTCCGTCGTTATGCTCCAAGAGGGAAAACAGTAAAAAGTTAGCTTGTTTTCCACCTTTATTCCCCTGGCGATCACGTGTGTCATCCCTCAACACATCAATACAGGGTAGCTGCAGGTTTAAGGGAGCCAAATTTAAGACTTTTTAAGACCTTTTTTAAGGCCACTTTGACCAAATTTAAGCTATTTTAAAAATTAAATTTAAGCAATAATTTCCTGCTATTGCCTGGAGCCGGTGCTAACCACGTCGCGAACGTGGGATTAGCCATCCAGTTACCATTAAACTTGCCCTTCCCCATGGCGCAAGCTCCCACTAGCTTAACCAGCTAATGTGCTCATCTAAAAAAATAGCCCCCTTTCACAACCAACTGACTGCATACGGTTCCGCTTACGGCAACATCATACACAAAAAATGCTGAACACTAACTAGAGATTCACGAAATTTTTATAGAAATAAAAGAATCTTGTTTATTGGGTCTTTGGTCATTTAAGACCTTTGGAAACTGGATTTAAGGATTATTTGTAATTTTTAAGGACTTTTAAGGTCTTAAATTAGGAAAAGCTAATTTAAGACTTTTTAAGGACCCGCGGATACCCTGCAATAATTTACTAGAGTTGTAGAATATAATCGATCAAATTAATAATAGATTAATTTAAGCCGCAAGAACGAGACTGAACGCGCTGTTTACAATAGTAACAAGCAACAAGTAAGGACTCACACGCCTCCAACGGGGCGGCTGCATCGGTGATGACATCACGATCACAATCCTATTCACCATTAAGGGGCGTCAATAGCCGGTTAAAGAAATTTTGGTAAATGTGCATCCCTAAAATAAAACCACAGAAATGTATCAACAAGATGCTCAACACGTGTCACAACTGAGCTTAGCAAATGAAATGAAAGTTGGAAGCAGAGGGTCTGGCACCAATCCTAACCCTAACTCGTACAAGACCAGACAGAACAAGTCTTGCCAGTACTCGAGTACAAACTAGATTACTAGAAATGAGAAAGACTTCACTGTAAGAAAATCATTTGCAAATCCCAACTCAAAGCATGCACATCATGATTAGCTTTGTCTCATACCTTTTACTGAAAACCAATAATCTGAGTTAGCAAGAATGGTGAAAAAAAGACAATGTTTGTACAAAAATGGAAATGAAACTTACTAGAATGCTGACAGTATTTTAAATTAAAACAAACAACTCTTAGCTAATAGTTAACGCTGGAACACACGTGAGAAATGCAGAAGTCAAAGTAGTTCTTTTTATTTTTTACATTTGCTTGACTAGAACAGTGAATGTAAAGCTCTTCAGTTAAATCTCAAATGTAACTTCTCCTTGCTGTTAAAGTCCTTTAAGACCATAGGAACCAACCAACACTCATAAAATGGTACAGAAATAAAAATGGTCTTCCTGTTCGCACCCACTCCCCCACTCTTGAAGAATAGCTCATTAATGCATAACCACAAAAAACTATTCTTATAACCAGTTTAAACCAGAAATGCAGGGGTCCTTGTGTTTTCTCCTTTTGAAAGGTCTTGTTCACTGAGAGACATCTAACAACTGAGTTACTCACGCATGCTGAATGTGAAAATTTCCTTCAACCACAATTTCCTGTGTTAGCCGTAGGAAGGAATCAGACGGGGAAAAAATTGGGTCAGAATAGGGCTGGATGATATATTGATATATTTAAAATGTCAATATTTTTAAAATATTACTAGAAACAAGATGACTCAGTATCATTATATCAATACAAATATACAACCAGTGTATTTCTAGAGTTAGCAGTCACAGCTAAAACTATCAGCTAGCTTGCTCCGTCTCTAAGCGGTCATTACACGTATACTCACGCCTGCTTGATCAGGAAATCTCTGGGTCAACGTTGTTCCCTAATCACTGTATTTGGTTTGGTGGTTTTTAACTATTTGGGGACGTTCGTTCGTATTTTAGCAAACCTTTTTACTGTGGCTGGTGACGGAGATTTGTTTATCCTGCCTGTGTAATCAGGAAATCTGCTGATGAATTTATGTACACAAATTCTTACGCTAGCTTAAAGGGGGTTAACTTGTAAACATTTTACAGGAGGAAAAATATTGAGACATATATCGCATATAGGATTTCAGCAAAAAGATAAGAGATGTGAGTTTTGGTCCATATTAATGGTATACCGATATATTACTCGGCCGATATTTCGGGCTTATAGTTACTCTTTTTTATAAATCGGCATCAGCCAATATTTGGTCTTAGTAAGAGAAAATTTAAAGTCAGGCACATTCCGGGCAGCCTGGTGCTGTTGCAGAATTTAAACATATTTTTATGGAGCTAGGATTGGGACAATAGTACATGTAACTTGTACTATGTTTTCTAACTTGTAACAAGTTTTGTAACTGTAACTTTAGTTTTGTAGCATACAATTCTTGTTTTGTAACATGTAAATTTTGGTATGTAACATGAAACTTTCTTTTTTTTTTACTTACAGAAAACAATCTATGTGCAAGTTTCAAATCACAACTCTCATAACACACATCTTAGTTCACTAACAACATTTGCGTAATAAATACTCCAAATTAACTTTACAGCAGTAGCTTAGCAGGTAGAGCAGGTTGTCCAGTAATTGGAAGATTGCAGTTTTGATCCCGCCTCCCACCAGAGAATGCCGTTTTTGTGTCCTTGGGCAAGACACTCAACCTGCCTTGACTTCTGGTGGTGGTCGAGGGGACTGGAGGCGCCTGTGTTCAACAGGCATTGCCTCTGTCAGTGCGCTCCAGGGTAGCTGGGACTACATTGTAGCGCATCATCACCGGCATGTAAATGTGTGAGTGAATGGGTGGAGGACTGATTGTGTTGTGAAGTGCCTTGGGGGGTGGGGGCTGGGGTGGGATTGTAGAACGTTGGAAGGCACTATACAAATACCATACATACACCATCACATCACCAGAGACCACTCTACAAATATTTAAATGGTAAATGCCTGTATTTGATTTAGCACCTTCTAGGGTCCTGGAACCCCCCAAGGCACTTTACAACACAATCAGTCATTCACCCATTCACACACACATTCACACCCTGGTGGTGATGCCCAGGGGCACACTGACAGAGGCGAGGCTACCGAGCACAGGCACCACCAGTCCCTCCAACCACCACCAGTAGGAAAGGCGGGTTAAGTGTCTTGCCCAAGGAAACAACAACAGCGACAAACTGAGTGGGGCTCGAACCTGCAACCTTCCAATTACGAGGCAAGCACTTAACTCCTCTGCCACCATCGCCCTTCAAACCCTTTACCCTTTAAAATGCCAAATTTAATCCATAGTTATACTTCACAACCCACTCAGATCCACTTTTCTTTTACTAAACTAAAATGGCAAAATTTTGAACAAACATAATAATCTAAAAACATTATTTCAATCACTACTATACTTATTTT